CGTGGAAATGAGGAGTGGTGGGTCTGACTCAAGGGCTGAGTCTTGTATGGGACTGGCTTAACTACTAGCGAAGCGATTGGGCACACTAAGTTGTGGGTACCTCGGGTTGTATTGGGACAAACAATGTCATGTAATGTATTGGTCCAGTGTGTGTGTGGACCTGGGTGGGACAAGGAGCCCGGCCCGGCGGAAACGAGTAAAACTTTCGATTATCGATTCGACGATATCGGGTATCCGTGGAGTGACTGGCCACATGAGAACCTCCCTGCGCAGCTTTCACCGGCATCCTCATCTTTAGTCGAAGAGTTTGTATTTTGCATATTAAAGGCTAAACCTTATTTACTGAAACGTAAAATCCACGTCGTGAACACAATGTTTTGCACTGCCTTTTGTATTCCCAACAGGCAGACGCAAACGTCTGCGAGACGCTCTTGTTTCAAAGCGCCAAGCTGCCATCTGGCAACACCTCGGCGAACGTGAACGTCCAACAGATGCTATATATTAGGCTTGTACTGGCTCCGAAACGTCGAAAAATGATAAACAAATTTGTCGAAATGTCGCCGCTGACATGGTGTTCACCACGCCCGTGGACGTCCACCCTGTCGACAGGATTCTGCCAGTGCGCACGGTCGTGCGTTGAAATCATCCTGAAATTGTGTGAAGTAAGCCATGTGAAATTCACATGGCTTACGTTTCTCCATTAACATTGTGAGTGAAGAAAACCCATGCAATATTGCTGATCAATGATTCTTTCGAAAATCAGTTAATTGTACAGTAAATGCTCAGTCAATGATGATTTGCAACTGAGTTTGAGATCCATAAATGATTGAATTGTGCTGACAGCAATTCAGTCCCAGCAGTGTTAGAGATCAGCGAATGGTGACCATGGCAAGGTAATCAACGTTGGCCAGACGTCCACAATTTTTTTCAATTCGTTAGTTTTTGAGAATATCAATTGCGGGAAACAGCGCATCAGCCACGTTGATCGTTGTTTAGTGGCACCTTCACTTGAATCCATATTGTCACGAGACTAGTTCAGTGATTCAAGGGCATTTAAATACCAGTTTTGGCATGTCATCTACTCAGTTGCAGCAGTTTTTTCGGAGTGAGAGGAAAGTGGTCTGTGACAAATTGAAATCGTTTAAAACTTCCAACGGCATCTGCATAATGTTGCTGCATGGATCCAATCCAATTTTGGTATTGAAACCTCTTGGTCAGTTGCGTAACTCACGAGCCAGTCAGGTACGACGTACACGTTGAACTCAAAGTTTGGTCTGCAAACTGGCGTACAATACAGCATGATGATTCCGCATCAGTTCAGCTGCAAACATGGCGCTCCCACCGTCGAAGTCCAGTGGATTGCTCAGAATTACCTGTTATGACCACAGCGGTGTTTGTTTGGGTCCAGCATATTCGGCAGTGAGCCATTTTAATGATACGTAAACACGGCCACACCCTCTGCACACCGACTCCCTCATTTCTGGTGACCAATTTCTGTCAAGCTTCCCTCGTCCCAGTTTGCCTTCGCACAACCCAAAGCCATACACAGTCTCACCAAGAATTCTGAGAGAGATATCCAGCTGAATATACTGCAGTACATTGAGCAGTTCTGAATGAAACTGTCGCCCAGCTCCTTCTCAATCTTCTCAGCCGCTTATGCAGCTGCTCTGTGAAAATATTGGTGTGTCTTGCAGTGAGCACGTTCCGTTGTGCCACTTTCTGAACGTATTGGGACCGCCTCTTGTACTATTGCCCTGGCAGCATACTTGCGCCACCAAATGCCTCGAGGTTTTTTGTCCATGGTCAGCAAAATCCAGTCGAGTATCAAAAAGACATCGAAGAACTGCATGAAAGCACTCACTCTGCATTAACCCGAGCATTTGTTAACCCAAGCATATATCCACTTGCAGGATTTTCGGATTTCCAAGAATGCATTCAAAATCATTTGCTGCACAGACGCCCTGTGCATACGTGGCCTTCAAATGCTGGCCATATTGTGTGAGGTGGACCTGGCATTATCGCAGAACAACACACTTATTATTTTGCACTTTTTTTTGCTTCTCCTTACTGCATAAACCACCATGTCTGCTTCACTTCTCTTCCACCAGAACGATGCCGTTCCCGAATTTTAGAAAACACAACCACCAGCGAAAAAAGAAGCATGACGCTTCAGAAAAAACATAATAATCATGTTTTTTTCCACAATTCTTCAACCACAGCGGCGCCGTTCCCGAATTCCAGAAACACATCCACCCCCCGCAAAATAACAATGTGGCCCCTCTGCCAAGTGCTCTGCATCATCTTTTCACAGCGTGGAAAGAGTCTTGCATGCACTTGCTCAGGAGGGGTTGCCCTTTGCATGACCTGTTTCTTCCCCTCTTCGCGCGGGCGACCATGACACATTTTGCTGGGCACATTGAGGTTGCAGCACGGACGGCGACATGCACATCTTTGTCGCAGCACCGACAGCTCAGTGACGCGTCCCTGGGGAAGGCAGGCCGGGAGGGCACAGAGGGATGCAAGGCGGGTCTCACACAAGGGCCAAGGTCCAGAGCCCACCACGGCGCCCGCACACCCAGGGTACTGTCAGTGGCCACTGGACAGGAAGGAGAAAGTTAGCTTGTCACGACAATACCATATGTGGGATATCTTCCTTTTCTTCTTTCTCTTCTCGTAACAAATCTTGGAGGGGCCGTGGATCGCCTCGGCGGGGCCAAACACCAGAGATCCGCGCACGGGCGTCCCACGCGGCCCACCCCGCCGCCTCAACAGATCCCGTCTTGGCCACGCCCTCCCACGTGCCCCTGACGTGGCCCCCCCTGTCACTATCCCCCCAGAAGTATCTCGCCCCCAATCTCCCACCCCCCATCCGGCGCCGGTCCGGGCCCGGCCCAGCTCGTGGACGCCGGGCGCCTGCGTCCCGGTCACGTGATCCGGGCCGGCGCCGGCCAGCGCACTTTTGCCGGGCCGAGAAAGGGCCGGGGGCCCGTGGCACGGCGCCCTCAGGTTTGCCGTGGCGGTGGCGCACCCAGGTGTATCTAGTGGCTGGCTGGATACGTATCACGCAACAGTCCCTGGGAGCGCCCACAGGCAATACCCACCCCTCCTGGCTTGCGCCTGGATCTTGGCCTGGGCGAGCGGGCACGGGGCAGGGTGGCCGGCGAGCGCCGCCCAGCGCCGGCGCGATGACCAAGGTGGCGAAAGACAGGGAGGGGCCGGGCGGCCTGGACGCGCTGTACGCGTCCGATGAGTTCCGGATGTATTGTTTCAAGGTGCGGGGGGGCCGCGGGGGGAGTTTTTGGCAAAAGAACCGGCGGAGAAAACCGGCGGAAAGGGCAAGGGGGCCCAAGCCAATCTCCGTGGCAAGAGGGGGGGAAACGGTGTGGCAGGCGGGGTGGGTGGGTGGGGGGAGAGGATGTGGCTGTTGGTGTTTTTGGCGCTTCGGCTGACAGCGGTGGGATGTCTGCGGGCAGGTGCTACCGTGCTCCAAGCACTACAGCCACGACTGGACGGTGTGCCCCTTCGCGCACCCGGGAGAGAAGGCCCGGCGGCGGGACCCGCGGGTGTTCCGCTACGCGGGCGTGGAGTGCCCGCACGTCAAGGAGGTGGGGCCCGGCTTCGATTCGGTTTCCTTTTGTGTCTGCCGGTTTTGGGTTGAATTCGGGGATTTGGCACAAGCTGTTGGGGTGGGGAGAGACCGAACATCTGGCATCATTTATGTGGCAAGGAGCGCAAAATTTGGTTAGGAGGTGTTTTGAGCGGTGTGGGACGTGGGGGAGGGAGGGGGCTGCGCGAGTCGAAGGGCCGCGAGTCGAAGAGCTGCGGCCGACGGGGTGGGCTGGCGGGCATGGCGATTCCCTCTGTGCGCCGGCTGGGCGCCTCCGACGGCCGAGGGGATGCGGGGCCAGGCCTTTGCGGCGCTCATCTCCCAGAAAATTACCCCGGGGCGGTGTGGCGCCGGCGGGGAGGCGTGTGGCCTGCGCCCCCGCGCTCTGCGACGATCTGCCTTCGCTCTGCGCCGGTCTTTTGACCGCGCGGGTCCCCCAGCGGGGCACCGTGGCGCTTCCTGCGGTCGCGTCGCCCGTTGTGGGGACCCGGTTGTCGGTGGAGGGAGGAAACGGGCGCTGACGCGGTTCTGTGCGGTGGCGCCAGGGGCTGAAGTGTCCGCGCGGCGACCTGTGCCCCTTCGCTCACAACATATTCGAGTGCTGGCTGCATCCCACCAGGTGAGAAGGCAGAGTCCGTTTGAGGTCATTTGGTGCGGACATGACGGACCTTGCCCTCGTGTCCGTGGGAGGATGGCGGGCACAGGTTCTGTTTCTTGAAGGTTGTGGAACTAAGTCAGTTTGTGACAGCGCCTGGTCGTGAATGCTCATTCCACTCCCAGGGCAGGCAAGGGATGTCTCCAAGAAGCACAGCCCCGTCTGCTTTCCTGCTGCAGCCGTTGGCACATGGGCAAACACTGGCAGCCAGTGCATGGCAACCAGACCAGAGCTGTTGTTCTGTGTACTGGGAACCCAACCCTGTGCGCGATACTGTCCCTTCTTGTTGTCTGTCATGGCAGAATATGCACATCTTGCGCTTGCCATGCCCGCTGAAATGGTCCAGGTGCAAGCAGCCTTGCTCACATTGCCCTGCCAACCTGGCATGAGGCGTTGGCCATTCTGCTGCATCTGCTTGGTGCCCGATTCTCCAATTCCTCGCAGATTCTTGCCTGGTGCAGTGCAGGGAGCAGATGGCAGACGTGCCTTCAAGGGGTATTAGACACATTGTGTGGAAGAGTGCATGGTGCATGACTCCCCTCAGCATGTGAATAGCGCACAGTTTTTCTTCTTCATTTTGGAATCGTAGTCTGCTCAATAGTTGATAAACAACAGCCCCTAAACAAAGCTGCTGAAGGGACAAATTTCAGCCAGAGGCCAACAGCATTAGTAAAAAGTCGCACTTTTACCTCACTGCAGTGCTCAATGCACAGGACAGAGCACCGCATATCCCTGCCCCCCTTCCCTGCGCGTGCGACCCTCCATATTGGAGCAAGGGACCTGTTTCCAAAGGCTTTGCCACCAGCACGGCCCAGTTCTTCCCACTGCAAACATATCTTCCCTGAGCAAACACATGGCAGCAACTTGCGCAGTGGCAATGAATGGCAGCGTTGCATCACTCGTGGTTGCTGGTTTACCCAGTCACTGGCTTATGTTGAGAAGAACTGTGCGGATCGTCCTTTGACTCAGACAGAGACAAATGGACTCCCCACTCTGAGTGAGTTTTTCTTGTGCAGTGCTTTTTCCCCATTTCAGCAGATTGTTCCGATGTGTCCAGTCTGCAACAGTAATAGCATTCTAAGCAGTTTACAAGTGCCGGGTCGTTCTGCGGCTAATTCTCTGGGGTTTGCAACCTCACCAGACGGGAATCTCAGTACTGGTGGTAGTACACTGTTTTCGCAGGTATTGTGCTGTCTGAAAATGAACATCGAAGGTCTGCGAAGCTGGGTGCCATCACTGTTCTGCCTATTCTGCATTGCTACTACCCATTCGTTGTATGTGGTGGACACCTGGGCTATCACGATCCTGGACAGCTGGGAGGAAGTGTTGCAACTTTGAGCAATCAAGAAGAATCTCTACACATGGCACGCATACCGTGAGCAAAACTATAATTTGCGTGTGCTGCACGGAAATATGCATGCCTCAGAATGCCTCCAACTGCAGCGTTGCCATCCTGCATATACCCTGTGTGACAGCCCATGTTGTTCCTTGTACCTGCGACAGGTACAGGACCCAGCTGTGCAATGAGCCCGCATCTTGTAGGAGGAAGGTGTGCTTCTTTGCACATTCCCTGGAGGAGCTGAGGGAGCCGTCCAACCCACTGGAGGCAGTCCCCAGTGAAGGTGGTGCCAAGACCGCCAGACTGTCACTGGACAGTGGCACAAGCTCCAACCTTGCTGCCATGGGTGCCTCGGGCAGTGCGCGACGCTCAGTGGACATCCCCAAGTCCCCGCAGCCCTCCCCAGAGCAGCTCCAGGTCAGACTCGTTGCCAAGAAACCTTTGTTTTCTTTTGTTGTTGTTGTTGCTGTTATGTTGTGCATCTGTGTGTCAACAGTTTGTTGCAAAGTTGTGGCCATGCACTTAACAATCATAAGAGGCTCAACAGCAGATGGAGTGCTATAGGTGTCAACCCACAGGTGGAAGGAAAGCCGGTTAGTTGTTGTCTACGTGTGAATATGCTGTGACGTGAATTAAAGGGAGCAGCAAGGATTTGTTGGGGCTGCGGGGAAGCCCTTAAGTGCCTTTCCCTGTGCAAATACTGTGAGAAATTGACAATGTGAAACTTTGAGCTGCATGTTTCCAAAATTGGCGGCACAGGCTATACCCTAGCAAACACAGATCTGTGCCAAGCGTTAGCCTGCACAATGACTCTGAGCACTGGATCTCCAGCATTGGTGGTGTGCAAACTTCAATTCAAAATAGACTCAGTTGCAGTGAGCTGTTGCAGAGTCAGAACCCCTCTCTGACAGTGATGGAACTATTCTGGTGCTGAAGCAGTATCGCATTTCCCAGTACTTGATCTCGTATGGTAGATGTCCCTATGCAGGCCCAGCTGCCCGCTGCCCAAGTGGACAGCGCCAATAGTTCAGTGTATTGCTTTCCACATGGCCATCTCAAAATGCACACATGTGCACTGTAACATAGTAGGCTGTGTAGGGCAAAGATTTTCCTGGCAAATTGCTGGCTGAATAGAAGGCTCCCACTTGTGTCTTTTTGCATATTGGCTGGCTGTTGCTGTACTGTGGCTGTGTGTGCAGTGATGGCCAGATGCCTGACTGTCTATCCGAAAGGAGCCGGCCATTGACCACCACAAGTTGGTCCTTGAGGCCTTTGCCACATTGCTAATGCAGCAAATTTTGAGTTCTCTTTATCAGCAGCTGGGCAGAACATTTCCCAGCACAGCCAAAGCATGCATCTTTGTTGCTGAGTTGTTCACTTGTGCCATTCGCTGTTGAAGTGTCCTCAGTGCAGCGAATCGTTGGCCAGTAGTTTTGGTAAGCTCCTAACTGGGAGTTCCAAGCGGGGCTGTTCGCTTAGCCAAGTTTGTGCCCCTTGATCTTGCCTCACACAACTGCACCACCTTATTGGATTGCAGCATGCAGCAAAGAGCTCACAGTGTTGGTATGCAGTCCATAAAGTCTCACAGCTGAGTCTGATGCTGTAACTAAACTGGCATGTGTAGACACAGCTGTTCTGCCCCGACGGACAAATTTCTTGGCTGAATTCGAGTTGATGTTGCAGGTGTCGGGTGGCCTTGCCAGCATGCATCAGATACCTGGCGTGTCTGCTGCCCTGAACAGCATCAGCCAGGCCTCTGGCTCCAACGCGTCCATCCATGACCTCGCAGGGCTTCTGCAACAGCTCACGGTGTCCATGGGCTCGCAGCAGATTCCACAGAACGAACGCATCGTCCAGCTGCTGTTGATGTTGCTGGGTGAGATCGCCCACGCCAATGGAGGGCAGCCTGCCGAGGGACACGGTGGTGAAGAATCTGTGGGTGCCCCCCGGGCCACATTCCCCAGGGTGTCGATCGACAACCATGGCTTGCAAAGGTCTCCGGGCTTGAACCTGGGCTTTGCTAGCAATGGCGCAATGCAGGTGTGGACACTGGCAATGTGTGACCACAGACAAATCTGCGTGCTGCATGGTTTTGCATGCTGTTCTATTGCAGTCGATGACCTTTGCATCACCTTCTGCAGTATGCAAAGAGCGTGTCAGAAGCCTTGATCACCAATGGCACCCAATTTGCGTGTCTCGTTTTTCCTGTTGTGAGAACTTCTATGCTCTGCAGTTGACGAATCTGAAACCGATGTGTGGTGCAGGGCCCCAGCGATGTGGCCAACCAGGGTATCCCGGAACACGCCCCTCTTAAGGCACCCCTGGGTCGGGTGTCCATGGATGGTGTCATGAATCCCTATGGTCCGGGCATGCACACCCGGGGGCCGTCCATCGACGCCTTGGGTGCAGTGGCAGTGTCAGAAGCCCTCTCGATGGGCTTGAGCGGGGTCAGGCGTGTCTCGGTTGACAGTGCCCTGCTGACAGGTAGCATTGGCTTCGTTGCTGGATCCTTTTTGAATGTGCTTGTCTGCCCAGGGTGAACCAGTACCTTGCCTTGCATGTTCTGAAGGGTAATGGCATGTATCCAAAAGTTTTGTATTCTGGCCCTGTGCTGCACAGTTGTTCAAGGTAGAAACATAGATACAGCTTGCCTATGTTCTCCACCCGGTCTCTGTTGTTGTGCAACTCCTCTGTTTACCGATTGGGGAACGAATGGGTAGCTTTATAATGTGTCCCAGACTGCACACAGGCTGAAATCCTTGAGCAAGCACAAGCCTTAAAAATGTAAAGAACCCCACCGGTATGCTCTATACTGCCCCCATGGCTTGAAAATGCCTGAATACCAGAATCGCTAAGAATCAGAAAAGTCAGAAAGTGCCCAATTTTTGCCAGGGATTTCTGAGGAGTGACTGCAAGAAAGTCTGTGTTTGTCGTCAGCCCTGGATCTGTGGCTTCTTATGGCATCACATCCTGCATACATACCTGTGTGCCATTGTGCAAATCCATTGGTCTCATTGCTCCTGCCAGACAAAGGAGAGCCCCAGTGCGCCATCGTTTTGTCTTGAACTGGTTGCGATCTTCCTGTGCCTCTCACACCTGTGCTTCTGAATTGAAGTAAGGGTTTTTCATGTCCTGCTAGTTCACATCTTGTGCAAATGCATTGTACAAGGGGTTCTCAGATACCTGCCAGTGGCTGTTGCTTGTGTACTAGCACTCCTCCGTTCTCACGTCTGCTGTCTAATAGACAACGTGGATGGAGTTGTGCTTGTCCTGGCCTTATATTTCTTATACTTGTACTTGAAGTAGGTGCTAGTGCAATACTTCATCATGTTCTGCCAAATCTAGCCCATATAACTAAAAGGATTGTCTGCCTTCCAGGCTATCATCTACCCATGCAGGGCACAAGGGTGGCCCCTGGGATGCCATACAGCTTCCTTGACGCCGGGAGGATGGCCCCTAATGTGGGCTTCAACCGCACTGTCGTTGATGTCAACATGCTGAGGTCATCAACAGACAGCAGCCGCTCAGACGAGACGCAGATGAGGAGGCAGTCCACTGACGCCAACCTGCCGGATGCTTTCATCCTGCATTCCTGAATGGGGCTGCCTGTGTATTGAGCACGGACGAGCGCCAGGTTCTGAGGCGGTCCGAGGTGAAGGTTGGCCTGGCCTGACCTGGCCTGCTGAACGAATGGGATTGTTGGCTCTGGCCCGTCGCGGTCAGCAGGGCTTGAGAATAAGAGCGAGTGGATGAGAAGCGAATCTTCTGTGGGGGTCTGGCTGGTGCTGTTCTTTTTGCTATGGGGTACTTGTTTGCCTCGGAAGGGAATCGGAGGATTCGGGCCCGTGCTGAGAGTGGCGTGAGTCGGCCTCTGTTTCCCCTTCTTTGTGAGGCCACTTTGGATGGCATGGGCATGGGATCTGCAAAGCGGCGCAGCAGTGGTGGGTTGCTGGGCCGCGTGGCTCCCAATGCAGAGCCCGTGCGAGGGGGGCGTGGTGGGACGCAGGTCCCCGGCGGTTGGGGCATTGGTGAGCTTTTCAGGATAGCGGGAGGGCAGGGCCCGGCGAACTGCCTGCGCTTGAGAAGATGGCGCATGGATGACGCCGATCCAGCGGGCGGGCTGTCCCACCACGAGGCATCATTGGGATGCGTGGGGGCTTCGGAATTGTCTATGTTGTGAAGAGGCGTGGCGTGTATGGGCGCGCTGAGATTTTGATATTGAGATTGTAGCCCATTGGACAGGAGAGGCGCCATGGGATTGTTGGGGTCTCAAGGTGTGTATTTTTCAGTGCCCAGGGTCCCAGGGAGCTGCTCAGTTTTTGTATTCATTTACTATTGGATTAATGACTGAGGGATGCCATTTTCCCTGCCTAGGGAGCGTCGACCTAAGGATTGATTCTATGGGGTCGTTGCCTCGCTGATTTGGATTGGTGTGAAGAACATTCGTCATATGGTTGGAGGGTCGGTTGATTGGTTGGTGCTAATTGCTGCATGCCGCTTGTGCTTTGCGAAACGTCACAATTGGAATGACAGTCGTACTGCGGGGCGCGGGACATTTTGCGGGGTGGCCATTGGTATTGTGGGATGGAGGGGCGAGAGCACAAGGGTGCCGGGGGCGGTTGCTGTCGTTGCCGTGCACAGCTCGCACGGACGTGGAGCAAAAGACGACGTTCCGAGTGAGGGGCCTCGACCGCATTGGGGCATGTCATTCGGAGTTTGGTGCTGGATCAATTGGGGTGCACGTGGTGGCGCTGCCGGGTGGTGCTCAAACTGACAGAACCTGGCTGTCGGCCTGGGTGCCTGAGTTGCCGAATGTGCGCCGTGACTGGACGGGGCGCGCTGTGCATGGTCATGTTGGCATACGCGGCCTGGATTGGCATGGAACTCGGGCTTCGGGAGCTTGTCGGCGCGCCATTTGTCGCAATTTACTTTCTTTATTGCTGTAAAACGTACATCCATTTCTGGATGCGTGGATGGGAAACGCTGGGCGGGCATCGAAACATTCCTGCCCTTTGTCGCGGAAGAAGGGGGCAGGAGGGTTCCTGGCTGGTGGGCGTGCCGGCGAGAGAAAGGCATCATTCCTGGTGGCTGGCGGCTGCAGCGGAAGGGGGCAGCCTGTTGGCAGTTGCGCTCAGCGCAACTGCATCGGCCATCCTGGGCCTGTAGATTGCCTCCAGCGCAACAATCTTCTGCGATGCGATTACAGGCTGCCTGTCAGGCAATCCCCTTCCGCCAACCTTGTGCTCCCCATTGTGGAGTATTGCGCAAGTGAGCCACTACTTGAGAATTTGCAAGCAGTGGCTCGCTTGCCACGATATCATGACACTTCTCGATGATTTGGTGCATGATGTCATGTGCTCGAGCTAATGCGCCGTGTGCAGCTGCCAGCCTGACCTGAAGGGCACGACGCATCTCGTACTTGCGCAGCGTCGCCGTTTAAGCCAAACAATGCTCTTCAGTGCATTTCCTTTTGGGGCCGATTTCAATTGCAGATGATTATTCCTGTTTTGAAGCAGTCAGCCTTGCCTGCGTGTGCCCTGCGCATCCTGATGCCAGGTGAATTTTGACACCACAGATCGTGCATCCATCGATCAGCGTAATTGCATCTGGCGAACATTCGTACCTATTCCTGCTGCTGCAGATACCCCCCTCTCCCACCCACCCACTCACCCACCCCACACGAGCACATGCTTCTTCTGCTCTTTGTGTTGGTTGCGCCCATCTTCTTGCCCATCACATTTAGCGGCATGGAGCAGACTCTTACACACACTTGCTTAGGAGTGGGTGCCCTTTGTACGACCTGTTTCTTCCAGCGTATAGCAAATCTTACCCCAGGGCCTATCCCAAGGTGCCGCGCTGTCCTTCCTTTCGGAACACCCTGCAGTGACAACTGTGAACTGCTGGCAAAACAGCAAGCCGACAGCCGCCACGTTGCCCTGATGTGCAGAAATTCGTGCTGGCGAGTAGGGCAGCAGCGAACGCCCAGTTTGCTGGGGTTGGTGACAATTTGGCTGGTCACATTCTGGCCAAAGTATCTGGCCAGAAGTTCTCGCCAAATTAGAGCCTGGGAGAGGGGTGAAAAAACGCCATCCCGCAGCCAGCCTTGGAACGCTCTTGCGGCCCGGAACGCCGCCGCGCACACAGTCGGCGCTGCGCCTCAGATCGACAATGCGCTGCGCCTGTCGGCCCCCCGCGGGCCGCGTCGCCCTGGCGGGCGGCCTCCTGCCTCTGCCGTCCTCGGGTGAGTCCAGCGCAACCGCTGCCCTCGCCATACCATTGGCCGCTCGATCGGCATTTGGCAAAGGTAACGGCCCAAGGCGGTGCCATGGCGGTGCAGGTCTGCGGGTTTGCTGGAGGGGAGCGCGTGGAGGCGGGGTGGCCGTTCGGGCTGGCCTGGACGCGGGGAGCGCGCATCATGTCGCGGAGGCGGCAATCAGGTGCGGGGGTGGGTGGGTCAATCGCCATGTGGGGATTGTGCAAGGCTGCGGGTGTGGGATTGTCACAAAGAGAAGGGAAAACAGGTCGTGCAAAGGGCAACCCTGCCTGAGCAGGTGCTTGCGAGACTCTTTGCGTGCTGTGAGAAGATGATGCAGAGTCTTGGGTGCCAAATGATGGCACAATAAGCGAGAAACGCAATGGGGGGAATGCCGCGGATTGGGCGCGCGGTGCTTGAGCCACGGTTGAGTCGCCGCACAGCGCCGGGGTCTCCTGGTGGAAATAATCAGTTAAGAGAGTGCGAGAGGAGAGGTGGAGGCTGCGGGACGCCTGTGGTTGAAATGGGCGTTCCGCAGAGTGGGAATCGCAGCGCTACCTTGACGGGCGCAGGAGGCCCTTTGTTCAACCAACAAACGAAGAAAAACTGAAGGGAGAAACGAAGAAATGAACTTGTCATGCGCAACGGGCGACCGACCGGTCTGCGCGGCTCCCTGCGCAGGGCCGTGCAGCCCCACCTGGCGGAGATGGCCACCTCGGCTTTCAATTTGATGCACAGCATCGCCGACGAGGCGTCGACGGTGATGGACGCCAGCGCGGGGGTGGACATCGACGTGGGGGCCGCCGTGTCGGCGGCGGCGTCGGAGGCCGCGCAGGCCGCGGCGGACGCGTCGTCCAGCGGCTCGGGCGGCGGGGGAGTGTTCGAGTTCCTGGCGGTGGCCTTCACCGAGTTCCTCAAGGTGGGGCGCGGAGGCTTGGTGGGCGACATTCCTTCCGTAAACCTGCATCTTTCTTTTTTCCTTTCTTTTCCTTTATCTAGAAATCTCCGTTATAAATAATGTTGTCCATGAGTTTGGCAATCTCCTTGAATAACTCCTTGGCAAATTCGCATTGGAAAGACAAAGCGGGGTGGTTGCATCTGGGAGGTGATGAAACTTCACACGGTGGAATTTGTGAGATAAGCTGTGGAGACGATGGGGGCGCCTCTTCCTTGCATTGGGTTCCAGGGGGGACTGATGGGGGTTTTGGGTTTTGCACCGAATGGAGCAGTGTATCTGGGGCACACCTGTTGTCATGGTGCCTGTCTCTGTTGGGCTCTGAACATCAGGCAGTCTCAGTTGCTCAGGCGGTCTACAAGGACCTTGGGTGTCGTGGATTGATGAAAGGGAGCTCTCTCAACCCCCATGCCATAAGAACACACAAAGTAAAGGTGACACAAGAGTGTCTGGGAAGCAACAGGACGATCGAAACTGTCTGCAAGCTGTCTGCAACTGTCCAGCTGAACCAGGACTCTGGCAATCCTTGCATTGCCCAAAGTCGCTGCTGTTGAATAGCACACTATTGAACCGTTTGCAAGGGCTCCAAGGTCCCAAAGTGTGGCCAGAGTATCCCCAATTCACATGCCTTCCTTTTTAACCCTAAATTTTGGCACAAAATGGACGCACTGACCTCACTAACTTCAAGGTCCTTGCAGTGTGCTGGACTTCAACAGAACAGGTGGCTGGTCACTAGCCATAAAAGTCTCAAAATCATTTGATTGCATTCGTGAATGTTTGATCGAACATTGCCCATGCGCCTGAAAAGCTTCGTGGGCATAGTTCAGTGCGTAGTGCTCGATCCAGCCTGTTGGCTGGAGCCCGATGTTGTCTCCTTCGAAACTTGCCGATGGATGAACTTTCCTTGCACAACCATATCCCCTGAATACAACAGCTTGTTGATTGGGATTCGTTTGTCATCTCACTACAGGGCGATTCCGCGTGCAGTTGCATCAGGTCGTCCTCCAACTTTTCTTAAGCCCATGTACAATCTTGGTACTTGAGTGTGACACTTGTGTCTGCTATTATGTGTATGTATGCCCATCCAGAGCCTAGCGCAATCTCTTAATCCCTGCGTGGGAACAGATATGTGAATACAAGTAGCAAAGGATGGCTGGTGGTGATGTAAAAGACAATGCAGACACTTCTGCTCTGGGCAGCATTCCCCTGTCAGTTCCCCATTGCTGACATACAACACTGGTGTCAGCATTCCCCCTTTCACTTTCTTGCATTTTCCATCCTGGGTAATGTCCAGGATTGGTACCAAGTTCGCAGAAGGTGGCAGACGTCTCAAGTTGTAATTGCTCCATACGTTTGCTGATGTGTGGAAGTTCCATGGGTTAGTCTATCATGCCCACCACCACAATCGGCTGCCAATGTACACACACCAGTTGCACATGGAATTCCTAATTGATTGCAACTGTTACAGCATGCTTGATATGGTTCTAACTGGACAAGACACTTCCTGTGACCTGTCAGGCAAGTTCTGTCGCTGTTCACGAGCACACAATTGTGTATGTATTTGCATCAATGTATGCTGTGCACGTAAGATGCTTTTGACTTGTGTGGATGTGTATGTGGTTCCTGATGAATTGCACGTCACTCTCCAGATAAGCATCGCTATCGAAGCAACTGGCAATCGGTCTGCATATGCTGTCAATTCCACCCAGACATCCATCAGCTGTTCACTGGCACCAGCTCGAACTCTGTGTGGACCAGAGACCTATGCTTGGAGAACATTTGAGGGTTCAAGTGTACAAACTGGTAACAGAAGATTTGTTTCGTGTTTGACAGATCATCGATGGCGGATTGGAGCTCTTCGGCGTTCCTTATTCATATGGCTTTTCCATCATTGTCCTAACCATCATTGTCAAGGTGGCCACTTTCCCACTCACAAAGCAGCAGGTGAGTGACCGCGGTGTATTGAGACGACTCCGATAAGATGGTGAGCTGGGGAATGAGTCACAGCAAGAGCTGATGGCTGTGAAGATTGCCTTTTGTAGGGAATACGAATGAGCACACATTGATTGGTGGGCGCAGAGGGCAGCCATTCTTGTGCAAGTTCTAGAGTGTGGAAAAAGTGGCATTTGCAGACTGCCACCACCAGTGCCAGCAATCACTTGAGCGATCACAGGGCCACAAACGTCCATCATTGTATTGATACCAACCCAGCCTGAAAACCGTGCTCTTTACGTTTGATATTTTGAACCATGCCAACGGAGCAATAATACAAGGCTGGAACACGCATGACTTTTTACATTTGCCAGTTGTTTATCATTCCAGAATTTCCAGCTTTGTGGAGCTCTCTTGAGCACACTGTGCTGCTAGCACCCTCAGGTCTTGTGGGGAGCTACGATTTCAGTCTGGGGTTGGGTCTGAGTGAATATTGTGCTCTGTCTCCACGTGATAGGTTCCTCCTACAAAATTAATGTTCAGAAAAGTCCCAACAACTGTGTGGCCGGTGGTGCAAAGCCACAATTGTAACAAATTTATTATGTGCAGATTTGTGACAGCGAAAACCAAGCCAGAACTGCTGACCTGAGAAGGGCAGCTGTGGGCATTGACTTCCTCCACTCTGCAAATGAAACTTAGCATCTTGCTGTAATGAATTCAGCAGCGGTGCTATACGCATTTGCAACACAAACTGCAGTCCGCATCCAGCTGACTGGCAGATGTGCATCGCTCGGCCTGGAGCTGCAGACCAACACAAAGCAGTTGAAGTCTAGGGTAGCCCAAGTGCCACCCCTCCCATGAATTCCGCCTGGGCTATGAAGACCTGACAGTGGTATTGTTTTGCTTGGCAACCTTAGTCTTGCAGCGTGCACCATCTGTTCAGCTTGCTTCTGCCCTTTATGTAGTATTTTTATCTAGTGTTTGTGATGTAAAAGGGAAGGTGGATGTTGGGTGAACCGATTGGCTCAAATTGCCCCACGCAGTTGTGCAGGCGACTCTGCAGGGCCTTTTCGCAGTATCCAGAAAACGAGCACAGGTGCAGATAGCAACAGAAATGCAGTGAGGGTCCAATTTTTCACAATTCTTCATTGCTGGTGTAGTTGCGATTGCTGTTGCTGGTTGCATATCCAGTTCGCAGTGCGCATGACACCACACTTGCCAAGACTGCTGTTGGCAGTCTCTGCTGATTTTGTCCCAAGTCACTGAGCCGTTGGCCTCAGATCTCATAGCCAGCAATGACATGATTTCACATAATCTTCACTGCCAAAGCATCAGGTTGATGGAATTCTGTAGGATTGAATGTGTTTCATCCGCAGGTCGAGTCGTCCCTCAACATGCAGGCCCTCCAGCCACGCATGAAGGAAATGCAGGAGAAGTACAAGAACGACCCTGAGCGGATGCAGCAGGAGACGGCGCTCCTGTACCAAGAAGCTGGCGTCAATCCATTGGCGGGCTGCCTGCCAACCCTTGCTACGATTCCAGTGTTCATCGGACTGTACCGGGCGTTGCTCCTGGCGGCTGATGAGGGGCTGCTGAAGGACGGCTTCTTTTGGATACCTTCACTGGCAGGGCCAACTTCCATAGCGGCCAGACAGGAGGTGAGTGGCTATGTTGTGCTTGGGGGGGGTGCGCCCATCGCACAACATGCTGCCCTCATCTTCTGAGAGTGAGTGTTCGAGACAGGAGGGGGTGGTTTCATGTACTGCTCTGCCCAGGGCCCTTCAGCTCACTCATTTTGTCAGATCTTTGTGGGGCAGATCTGCCAGAGAACACATGATCGATCGTTGTTCTGGGCACAATAGAAGATGCTGGCTTGTTCAGTTGCACGTGGTGTTCCTAACTTGCTGGTTTTCTGGGCCTTCAGGCATGTGTAAGGAGAAACTGCTGGCACAGGGCCATGCAGGAATTGGACTGTCTGTTGATTGCTCGATGGAATATGTTTGCCGACCTTGCCTTGCATCCCTAGTTTGCATCTTCTACTCAGTCAAACAGAACAGTAAGAGCAGTGAATGTCAGTTGTTAGTGCCTGTGCCTCCCTGTGACTGAAGTGTGTACTGATGGCAAACAAGTGTCTTGTTACAAGGGAGCAAGGGGCACCTCATCAGTTAGCAAAGCATCCACTTGTACCTATGACAATGTGCAGCAGCACAGTGCAAGAAACCAGTTTTAGGGCATGTAGTGTGTGTGTAGTACTATGTGTGGAAGGCAAGGCAGCACCAGAAAAGGCAACAGGAACAGTGAAGTTGGCAGCTTTTGATGCTGGCATGACAGAGAAAACGTGCATTTGGTGTGGTTGTTTTGTTGACAGCAATGTGCTTGCTGCTGCTCCAGGGTCTCGGCTTGTCATGGCTGTTTCCCTTTGTGGATGGTGCGCCCCCAGTTGGGTGGGACGATGCACGTGCATACCTCATTCTGCCGCTGGTGCTCATCATATCGCAGTACATTTCACAGGCGATCATGCAGCAGAAGAACACTGACCCATCGCAGCAGGGTGCTCAAGCGCTGCTGAAGTTCTTGCCGTTGATGTTGGGTGAGTTTCAGTGTTAATGCTGGGATTCGCCGCAATCTGGTGCTTGGACATTTGAACGCTCATCCTTTGATTGCTGCTGTCGGAGCGTGTCAAAGGCATGAGAGATCCCATTGTCCAAAATACGATGAGCACGAATGCCAAGGTCCAAATTGAGTCTGCTGCAAACTGCTAAGCGTCATTTTCCACCAAACTTCCTGAGAAAGGGCAGAATGCACAGATCTGCAATATTCCTGCAAACTGACTTGCACAACAGAGGATGACCAAGGTATCCCTTGGAACTTATGTACACATACTGGGACCCGCACCTGCTGCATGTTGCCAAGGTGAAATGTCTCGTTGAGTACATTGGTCACGATTGCCGTGCTTGACCAGTCCACCAACAAGAGTGGTCAGCTGTGTTCACTGTGGGACACATGCCGGCATGGGTATGGGCTGGCACTGGGCACTCAAGGGCATGATCGATTAATTTCACTGGCTGAAAATGTATCCTGTAGTGCATGGCAGTGCGAACGACTGGCCGGGCATGCTTCCTGGCATTCATGGCAGTGCATGTACTTGGCTGAGCAATGGGACATTGTGGGACATATGTGATATGTTTTGAATGCACTGCATGAAGCTGCAAGACTAAAGGAACACAGAATCACAGAATCAGGCCAACCATTTCACTACCTTCACTGTCTGATGGAAGACTTCCCTTGTGCTTTGACAACAAGCTGGGCTTGACAGAAAAGTTGATGAACATCTTTGTTGATGCCATGTGATATGGGATTCACAACTTGGAAAATGGCAACTTTGCTGAAGTCCATCGCAAGTGCAGTAAAATAGTTCACCCTGTGTTTCAGCAGATATTGCAGGGCTGGTGTTGATCAGGCTTGTTGTTGACGCCGTAAACACAGATCGCATTTACGTTTTTACACGTAAAAATAGTTTTTTATGTTTGACACGTAAAACGCGTAAAAATATGTAAATACAACGTAAAAGCAGCCCCGTGTACATAAGGACAGTACATACAGCCTTTGGGACTCCGGGAATGGCATCCAGACGCACTGGAATGGGCAGAAAACGAATTTTGTTCCACTTCGTCGTGGCCCTTGCCGAGTGGGAAGTGGACGCTGCGTTGCGGGCACTCAAGGGGGGGGATTACTGATCACTGTACACAGCTTCCAATCGTGTAACCTGGGTGTCACAACGAGCCGTAAAAACGTAAAAACAGCCGAAAAAATAGCCTCTTTTGCAAATTTGCGTTTTTATGCGTAAAAACGTGAACGTAAATGTACATGACGAGCCTGGTGTTGATTTCTCTTTGCAATATAATTGTTTGTGTTTGGCTTCTTTAAAATTTTGAGCCCCAGCTGAAGTTTGTTATATCTACTTGCTGTTGGATCTGTGTTTTGTCTCACGAAGGTGAGTGCAGTCTGTAAATGTCCACTCACATCACATTCAATGTGGAGTTCATCCACTATGCTTCTGTGCCCTGTAAAGGCAAATACTCTGATGACAATCCTAATAAGGCACCTGGCTCGCAGTGCTTTGGCAAAATCTACTTGTTCTTCATTTGCAGTCCCCTAAATGGTTCTTGCCCTGTGCGGACTAGGTTGGTTCTCGCTCAACGTCCCCTCAGGTCTGACGCTGTATTGGATCACAAACAACATCCTATCCACAGGCCAACAAGTGTACTTGAAGAGCACCACTTCGGTAAATCTGGAAGCGAAAGCCGCATCCTCAGCGACCATGGCAAGGCCGCCAGCAGACGTGATAGATGTCACACCAACTGGTGAGCGGCTGCTGATTGGTTGGTTGGTTTGTTGTCATGGCAGGGCGAGTGTTACATGACGTCGGGTTGGTGCCGTTGTTTTCTTTGTCACGCTGCAGTCTTTTTGGCGGTTTTGAGTTTGGGCTCAAGTACATTAATCATCACTTCTTCCATCTAGAGTTGAATGCAACAATTTCTTGAGAGGTCAAACGTATCACTCCATAGTTTATTTGAAAATTGGAACAGAACACCACCAGGAATTTCCTTAGCATTCTCAGATCGTGCGCAAAATGGATAAATACCGGACAAATGGCAGTAGTTTGAACCCACATGACTCCGGCCAAGAACTGGAAAATTTCAAAGTCTCAACCAAAACGGGACACTGACCAGGGTCCCCCTGCCACTGACAGTGCAGCGCGCAGAGTGGATATCCATTGTCGTTGCTTGTCTGCACATCAGATCCGCTTCTCCCAGAGCAGGAAGGCTGCAGAACCGATTTCTGCACTGCTCGTTCGTCGATCGCGACTGCTTAATCGGCGATCGCGGCTGCTTAATCGCCGATCGCGACAGTGGCTTTGGCAGCCCAACAACCAATTCAGCCCTGGATCGGGCACCCAGAAATCGGCGAAACTCGAAATCATTTTGTTCTCAGAAGAGACCGCCACCATGAGCTTGGTGAATGCAGATGTAAAGACCTGCACGGACCCCTTGGAAGAGTATGAATGCCACCTCACTGTGCAGCAGCCAAAAGAACACTGGAATCGGTTGTGCTGGGCACATGCCACAGGGAGCATTTCAAGAGATGTTCACATTGCATTGAAAGCTGTTGTGATGAGAGATTTTCAGCGGCGCCCTTGTGAAATGCAAGAACACAACCATAGAGACACTCGGGGTCTCTGGTCGAGCATCCACCCCTCCATCGTCGTGTTTGGCAGGAATGATGTCCTTTGAGTGGCGGCGTTCCTTGCCCCAGGCACGAGTTTCATTGGAGATCTCTGCCAAGCAGAGTGCCTTTGATCGTGCAGATATTCCACAGCTAGCAATGAGACACCTGGAAACCTTTTGTCATGGCAGATTTTATCCATGCTGGTGTGCTGCCATTGACAAGGTTGTTGATTCCAGCAATCACCGATGGTGAGTTGCAGCCCTAGGTGCCAAGTTCCTTGAGCAACTCCCTTGGCAGTTCATGCCGGCTGCTCCTTGTGAAGCGCAAGTAGTGATCGCCAAGTTGTGTTGGTGCCACACAAGTATCCACTTGTTCCGTACATTGCAGTGCACAACATTCTCTTAATGTTTGCCTGCGTATTATCAGCTCCAATTTAGGAATGCTGTGGAGACAGGGGTGTGGCCTTGATGTTCACTCACATTCACTTGGTCGCCTGCATTTCTGATCGTCGACTGGCCGTCTGCATCCAGTTCATTGCACCCGGTTGGACCCTTCCACTGTGAAGGGTGTCGATCGTTGGGGTAAAGCACAAGCGTCGTAGGCACCCTTACCCTTCTGGCGCCCTACAGGCCACAGGAAATGCCCCATGCTGGGGGCCTTCCTTGCTCTTGGGCGCCACATTATGGTGGCATCAGCAATATGCTGCGCAGGTTCGAATTCTAGGCAGAATTGTGCGGCTTCAAAGTACTTCCACTGACTTTTTCTCCATTGTTTTATGCTGTCATTGATTAAACGCATATCAGGTGCTCTGTTCCAATTTTCAAGGACAGCTAAGAAGTGCCCGATGCACATGTGGCCTTTAAAGAAAATATTTCAGTTAGTTCCAGATGGAGGAAGTAAACATGCCATGATTTCAACAACTGGGGCTAGTTGCCCAGCCAAATCTCGTGTGTGACCAAAACAGTATTTTTGCATTTGAAAGGCATTGATGAGCATATTTCTGTGCACGATGTTGGTGGAGTTGTCTGTTCGTTTTAAGTTTCTTGTCGTTATTGCTCTAGCCCAGAACTCTCAAACGAGCTGCAACTGGCACTAAGAGCCAAAAGGAGCTCGAAATCCTCTGTGGGAAGCACAGCAGGGCAAGCGGACAGAAGCCCAACCCATAGTTGTTTGTGCACGCACCAAAACAATCAACACAATCACTTGTCATTTCCATGAAAGGTCACGTCCCTGAATATTCTAGTCATCAAGTTAGGACGTTCATGGACCCTTTGTTGAAGATGTGGGGGGAACAAGCTTGCTTCTTTTGAGCCAGTTTGTCAGTTTGCTTTCGATCTACTGCATTGTATTGTATTGTAACAGCCGTGCATCGGGGATGCAGCCGGCGTGTAAGTGATCAAAGAGAAATCTTACAAGTAATGTTTGTGGTGCTTAGCAGTGGCTTTGTCACTGCCACTGGGCGCAGAGACTGTCCATTCAACCTGTGTGCTTCGTAGGAAGACGTTGACCCAAGGGAAATGTGCATGAAGCATTATTAGATCTAGAATGCACAACGCATTCTGAAGTTGATTGAACATTGCCTTGGATCACTGTGCAAGGAGCCAAAGGGCGCACACCTCTGATTTGGTCAAATATGTTGCTGTTGCTGTTGCCAACTTACTGAACCAATCGACACGTGCCCCAAGGGATGTACCATCTAGCTACTGATGTGAATGGTCAGGCAGGATGTTACAAATGCCTTGAAAACAAAGGAAGTTCAGCTGGCCAAGTGGTCCTGGCAGAAAAGATTGTGAACCAGCAGTGCCTGATTCGCTGCTTTCTTCATCTTGCAGTGTGAATATGGATTTGAAAGGAAGTGTCTGTGCTGGACATGCCTGCTGTTAATGTTTGGAACAATCTAGTTTGTCACACAGGGAGACCCCTGTTGGGTTGACACCACAAATTTCCAGCTGACAATGTTGCCTGGTTGCCTGGTAACGATCAGTTTCGAGGTCTTGTTCTGAGAAGTCCAGTTCCATGTAATGTAGAATGAAACGAGTGTAACGTGTTGATATTGTGTGTCTGCAGGAAAGGAGAAAGGATCTCGTCGATCGCCGGAACAAATTGCTGCAGCCATCGCGAGAAAGACACAGGAACAACCGAGGAAAGGAGAGAAGTTTAGGGCCCGCAAAATGCAAGAAGCTGCAAGGAAGGCTGCCAAACTGGCTGCTGAAAGACAGGCAGCACTCTCTCCAGTGAGTGAACGTACACATTTGCTTGCTTGTCTATTTCCACCATCCTTTGCGATGGATGTTGGATGCACATTCGCTTGCTTTGTGCTATGGCTTTGCTTGCATTGTTTCAAGCACAATTGTTTACCTGCCTGAGTTGTCATAGTTCCCTGCTCAGTCGTCACTGTCACAGCCACCATATGCGTTCCTACCATTGACAGATACCCCTAGCAGACTTGGTGATGAACCCATGTGCCACCAGCACATTTTTGCTCTCCCAAAATGTCTTCTTAGAATGAGGTGTCTAACACAGCAATATGTATGTGAGATTACAGGAGATTTGGTAGATTGATTTGAACTTACTTGCATCCCTCATGGATAGACTCAAATATTGCAGTTGCAGCAAACTTCTTGACAGCCAGTGTGGTATGTATGGCAATGTGCTGCACGTGCACAACTTGCCCATGGACTTGTTTAAGCCCAGGAGAGCACACTGGTGCCAGAGCAAGAGGGCTTTACAGCCATTGGGGTATATTTGAGGCAAGTGGGATAGTGTACAGATTCGCCCTTCAATGGAACCACTGTTGTGGTTGGCCATTCATGGGCTGTTGGAATGTGTCATCATGCTCGAGCTGTTCCCGTCATTGCCCACGTGTTACACAGGTGTAGGTGCTTTGATTCGATCGGCTAACGTGGAATGGGGATCTGGAAGACATGAAGAGCTTGGATGGGTGTGGGTCGGATCATGCACTTGCTGAAGGCACCTTCTTTGCCCACCGTGTCAGTGCAAAGCGCTCCCAACCACCATACACACTCGAACACCACCGAGTGTCAAGGCCACTTCAGGGAACTAACTTCGTGTGTACTTTCCATTCGCTCTGTATTCTGCCGAACAGAATCTGTTACTGCTCTCATCTTTCTGCTGTTCCTACGGTTGTCAAACCCTGCGTGCCAATGCTTCGACAGGAGAACATCAGTGTTGCGGACGCAATGGAGGCCAACGCGCCCCCACTGTTCCTCGGCTCTCCGGCGGCGCCTCTGCAGGACACGAACAGCCTTTCTGATCAGCAGGCCCCGAGCACAAGCGTCGAGGTGGAATCTGCGGGCGAGCAGAATGGTGGGTCTTCAGAAGAGGAGGCTGCTTCGGCGTTAGAATCGGCTGCAGAGGAAGAAGAGGAAGCCGAAGATGAGGGAGTTGTGAAGGGGGAAGTGGAGGCGGGGAGAGTTGTGGAAGCTGCAGCAGTTGCCGGCTCCGCAAGCCAGGAGGGGCAGCGGCGAAAGAACACGGGCAAGAGAAAGGTGAAAGGACGGTAGAGGGGGGAAGGCCCGGGCTTGGCGAAGGGCGGAGCGTCGGTGGAAGGTTGGATTGGTGGTGAAGGAACTTGTGCAGCGTTTGTGCGGTGGACATTGGGGGCAGAAGTCCGCATGGCACACTTGTTGGTTGGTGCCCGTGCTCCTGACCGACGGCGGCGTTGAATGGGATGGCGGCTGTGAAGTGCGTGTGTGGGCTGGGCGGCTTGCGGTGGGACTGTCGGGGCGTTGAACTGCAGCACCGAGATTCGTTGCTTCTATGTGGTCGGCGTACAGGAATTGTTTGAGCTTTTTCTCTTCTGAAATGCAGATTCGTATCGTTGTGGCAACCCAGTTTTGGCGACCACCTGTGTTGTGGGAATCGTGTAATGGGCTTCGGATCTTCGAATGCGATGGCAGCTGTTTGGTATACATATGTCACAGGCACACGCTGACGAGTCTAGCTTCTCCCAGCAGCATGAAGTTTGGACATCACTATTCTGCAGACTTTCGAGGAAATTCTCTCAAGTGGTCGAATCATCAACCAACATTCGAGCTTGCAACCTGATAGAAGCGATCAGGACTCCGAGAGTCCGGGCATCATCATTCTCCCAAGCCCAGTCAAGCGGCATGCTCCGTCTGATATTAAACATTCACCAGCGCGTGGCAATTTCCTTGCCCAGCTGAATGCTGCCATTCGTCAAACCATTTTGACTTCTGGTGGACAACACCAGTCCTCTATTCAGGGGTGACATCCGCAACCCTGCTTGCATACGCACAATGCCTTTCAACCGCTGATAGGTCGCCAGCTGGTTCGCCGCCGGGGAAGCGGTTCCGGTGGAGGCAGTCAGCCCTGACCCGTGGACCTGACTTCCGTTTTGACTTCGCCGACTGTTGAGGAGCAGTTGAGACCAGGTGAGGCGCTCTGGGCGGCAGCTGCGAGAGTTTCTACAAGCACATTTGCATGGTTGGCTGGCAGTGGGACGTTTGCCACCCATTTGAAACTTCCCCTTGCCGTCGCTGCTATTTTTGGTGGTGGTCGTCGTCGCAACAAGCAGTTCTTCGTGAAGAGCCAGCTCGTGAGCGGGGCGAAAGTTTGATCGTTCAGTGAACCCTCAACTGACGTGGTGCTGAGGCTGTCGACATGGCTCAGCTGCCCGTTTGAGGGTGATTTTGCTGCGCTATCTCCGGGGGTAACGTCCAGAATGGACCGCTCCCCTCAGCAAATGTCCCTTCACGGCCACGCCATCTATTCACTGCATGTATCATGATCATGTCACATCACCGCAGCTTGATTGCTTACCGACAATTCCATCGCTGTAGCAATTTCATTGCGCGTCTGACAGGCGACAACACGTGCAACCATGCTGGTGTGCAGCAGCGGGCCACCACCCTCCGTTGGCAGGGACAACGCACTGCCAGATTCCCAGTCCAGTGTGTCTTTGACCACTGGGCTGCCATCCAAGCGTCGTAGGGACAGTCGCAGCCATACCAGCACACATCAAGGTCTACAGGGTCGTTGGCCCAAGAAGCGCACAATTTGTAAATCGACCAGCACATTGTGGTTTGCACGCTAGGCGGTGATTACACAGCCCAGCAGTCCTCAGGCCGCTGGAAAAGCCACACTCCAGACCTTGATGAGGACCACGACACAGATCGGCAGAGATGGGATGGGCGTTGGACGCAACTTGTGACCAGGTGCGAGCGGCCTTCCGTTCCTCAGCTGCGACGCCCGGTTGTACAGGAACACCAGTGAAGGCCATTGGGCGTCCAACGGGCCACGTTTGCATAGTCGCGGCAAACGCTCGGCCCGATCAGCAGCGCACACACACACGCACACACACACAGAACACATCTCTCCAAGCCCCAGCACCCCAGCGACTCGAGGAATTTCCAGACCGCAGTTTATTTTAATGATTGCAACGGAACTTGCAAAGAAGAAAAGACAGGTTGTCGTCACGTGTCTCCCCAAGGTGACGCGCGCACCGTGTCCACTCCAGCAAGCCGCTCGCAGCCACACAAGTCGGTCCTCCCGCCGCCGCTGTAGCCCGCCAATCCGCGAAGGCCCAAGCGACGGCGTCTGTCATCAAACCCCACCCCCCCACACACACACCTTCGCAATTTTACGTTCCTGTCAAAAAATCTCTCTCACTCGATCTCCGGCAAACACCATGATATGCCTCTACAGGGCAACACTTGGATCCTGGGGAGCACACTTGAAGCGTCTGTGTCGTTCATCACAGGCAAGCTATCCACATAAACGACCAACGCCAATCCTTCACACAACCTGCATGTGCGCGCGCCTGAAACCCAAACGAGAACGCTGCCGGAGCTTCCCACTACCGCACAGAGGGGAGACCATTGCACACAACCACTACAGCGCATCGGCTCCAGACAGAACGATGAAAAAACTCCTGCCAGTATGTTTCCTTCTTTCCTACCGTCTGCTCAACTACGAGTTTGGCACAGGAGCCGGCTGCCTAGGCGACCGCGCCTCCTCCCCCGCGGCCCATAAGGCCCGCTGCCACATCGATGGCCGGCAGAAAACGCTGTGCTGAGGCAGCATGTCCACAGCATCGCCATCCACATCCAAACTGCAGCACAAAAGCCACGCCTGGCTGCCACCCGTCCGCGCCCACAACCAGTCCACCCACACATGCACACATGGCGCCATCGGGCCAATCTGGCATGGACCGCCATGAGCGCCGCCAATGCTGCTGTCTCCAAGGCAGCCCCCGACAGCAATGTCAGAAATGACAGAAATTGACAGATGGCGCAGAGAAACCGTCAACCCATCATTTTTAGACCCGATTCCCAACCTGACTCCCATGCTATTATAGCCAGCGGCCAGACGTGCGAAAGCAAGGGAGCCGCCCATGCCCCGGCCCCCCCGCCGGCTCCGCGGCTGTCCGCCAAATGCACTTGTGACAGCTACAAACATCCCCACGGCCGTCTTTATTGGTAAGTGCTGCAATTGTACATCGACGCTGGGCACAGGGTTCCAAGCGCTGTGGCACGGGCGGGTTCAGCTCCTTTACTTTATGACGGCCAGCCCGAGCACCCCCGGGCCCCCAGACCCAATCGAACCAATGAAACGTGCAAACCCGATGCACCTTATTTCCCCACGTCGCTGTTACGGCATAAACTGTCAAACCATCCAAGCGCCTTGACTGTGCCCAGCTTCAAAGAATTCCTGATGCTCAAAAAATTGGCTCACGCACCCACGCGACCCCCCAGCATGCCCACCATGCCAATCCACTCCGATGCCCACGGCTCACGCGCCTCAACCCACCGCCAGCCGCTTCAACAGGCACGCGAGCTGGCGTTTCAATCCAACGACTCCATGCCCCAATCCTGACGTCGACTGCCTGACGACGGTGGCACTGCCGAGAGCTCCCCCAAGCAAAAATGTTTGGACTTGTGGCCGACACTATGCAACGAAAGCAGCTTGTCCGCCTTCTCCTCCACCCAACCCTGCTGTGCAGTGTTCCGACGATAGAGTTCACATGTTTCACCACAATCCCCCAGGCAGGCTGCCCACACTCCACGTGACCGTTGTGAGCCCTACTCCAGGTTGGTGTGCCGCGCCCGCATCTCGGACACGTGGACCTTTGTCTTCTTCTGCAGCATTATGCATGCGCACTCCATCATGAGGGCCAGGCTCATCTCGAAGGAGGCGCCCATCTGCATCACGCTGAACTTTCCATCGGGCAGTGACGACACCACATCGGCGCTCATGCCGCCGAGCTTGCGGTTCATCACAGGCATGCAGGGGGGCAGTGTCTGCGAGGCGATGCGCACGACGCGCTCGGCGAAGGGCAGGGGGGCAGTCTTGTGGGCTGTGAAGGCAATCACCCGCGCACCCGATCGCATCGCCTCCAGAGACAGGGCGCTCACCTGAGGGGCACAGGCACACAGATCAACATTTCAACTTGGTCTAGTGAAACAATACTCGTACCGCATCCAGGAATCGACGTTGAGGATGTATCACATCCACTGGCACCTGGCTCATACATGAAACTCCAAAGTTCCCATGGCCCATGTGGTCTGAAAACAACACTAGAGTCAAAAGGAGATAAAAAAAGTAACAGCAACAAATTCACATGGCCAGCACTGGTACTGGCGGTTAAATTGCACGGAAAATCATACGTGGCAGGACTTCATGATCACACATCTATGACGTTCCTGCTGCATCTCGATAGAAAATCTCCTGCAGTCGCATGCTACTGATTTCACACGAGTCAAGAACATTCGACTTTCACAAAAGGCACTAAATCGCTGTTGCCAAAAATCGATATGGTGGAAAAGGACCCGTTTCACATTCCTTCCTCTTCTGTGATAATGTGTTCATTACTCTCGTGGAGTAAAACGCATTCAATCACTCCATCAATCGATACTGAACAGGTGATCATCAGCTTAGTCCAGCCAACAGACAAACTCCTGCCAAAAATGAACGTGTGCTAGTGACGCAACTCATGCACACACCCAGCCCACACCCACCAGGGGTTGAATTCCCAAGAGCTACTTTACACTGTCAACCCAAGCAACCGAGGGACAAGCGCAGCAACAAGTTGCACAACTTACCGTGCTGTAGTAGCTAGGTCCAGCACTAACAAGGAACAGGTCACCCTTCCCAAGAGTTGGCGTGTTTGTGTCGCCCACAGTGTAGGCCTCAAAACCCATGTGGTGCAGATTGGAGGCCAGGCCCTTCATCACAAGGCCCTCTCGGCCAACGCCATAGCAGCACACCACACGAGCATCCCGAATGGCACGCGCCAGTGACGTCACGTCGTTGGGATCCACAGAGGACATGATCGCAGACAGCTCCTCAAAGATGGATGTCTGAATCTTGAAGTAGTCTTCGAACTGGTCGTCCTCGTCCCGCTCACGCTTGATGCCGGACACAGGAGATCCCGTCTCCGCCTCAGAACCACCCTCAGAGCCAGAGGTCTTCGTCTCAGCATGCTGATCACACGCCCGTGCAAAGGTCAGTATGCATGAACTTTCCTAGGTAAACACTGCTGAGCTCACAAGGGAACACAAGAATGTGCCCACCAACCACATTTATTACTCCAGATGTCCATGAGCCCACTCCTCGGGCAACAGTTCTCTTTCCTTGGTACAAATGGCGGATGTGATCTACTTTGTGACATGGTCAATGAAGAGGTCTCTGCTCAGAGCGTGCACAAAACGACACACTGCCACAACATCAAGCAACAAGTCTGACACAGTGAAAGGATGCTCGCCAATCGATGGGAATACCCCCCAAACAAGATCTCTGAGACAATTTTCTGCGCTGCAACAATGACCACAAGTCTGCAGGTGCAGCATGGGGCAATTACATACAGATGTGCAAGGCACATTCTGAAGGGCCCAGAAAAGAGACCACATAATGGTACCAGAGGAAATTGTCATGCCAGATGTTGGGGACACACACCTTTGGTTGCCTTTTGCATCTTGCCAAGCGGTTCTTCAGCCAGACAGACACCTGTGCTTCAGTTGCCGGACCTGCACCCTGCACTGCGCTGTAAAGTTCAGGAGTGGCCTTTGTGTAACCTGAGGTCAAGAGGTACACACACACATACGTCAGTGGTTTCTTGGAAGTTCCGGTTGAACCCTTGCCTCCACACAGATTTGCAGGATACGGAGGCCTTGGTATGTCGGCAGCTACAAACATACCATACGAACTCCTGCTCACTTCCACTCGCTCAGAACACTGAATGTCACAAAGCCATGACATATCAGAACATGGAAGGCAAGTGTAAGGTCATGTCGTTCACAAAGCCACAAGGGATCCACCACACTGCAAAAAGTCGTTCTCCCAAAACAGCCCCACTTAACACCTACAAACACCCCACAATCAGTACCACTGTGCTCACCGGACTTGAAGTGCTGCTCCAGCAAACACAGCTGCTGCGAGTTGGGCTTCCAGCGGGTCTTGGAACCCCCCACTGCCTCATGACCCGGCTCACTCTTCGTCCACATGGCCTTCCCGTTCGTGAGCGACGGCTCCAGCAGCCCCATCGACGCATTGTAGGCCACCTCCATGCCCGTGCTCATGCCAGGCACCATCATCCCGCCGTGGTCCAGGGCATCGCTCATCACAGCGTGGCCCTCCGACATGGCCACCATGCTGTCCATCGGCACGCCGTACAGCACCTGGGGGATGCCCATCCCCGCCCCCTGAATCATCTCCTGCTCCATTATCGTGCTCTTGGGGCTGCCCCCCAGCAGGGCCCCCCCCTCCCCGGCCTGGCCCTCCTCACACGCCTCCTTGATCCGTATGGGTGTGAAGTCCACCACATCGGACAAGCACTGGGGCCCGCTCACACACGGGTCCACCAGCCCCGTCACGTCCAACATCTGGCAGGCATCCATAACTGGCACGGTTCCCTGGGCGCCAGCGTTGGCCTCCAGAAGGCAAAGCTTCTGGTAGTTGTGGGATGCTGAGCCAGTGGACTCCAGGCCCACGAACTGGGAGGAGGTGGAGTCGCCAGAAGGCTCCGCGAGGCCCAGGGAGGTGAGCAGGGCGTCGTCCGATGGGTACAACCCCGTAGTCGTCGACACTCCGCACAGCGCGTCCTCGATGCCCAGCTCCATGTGGGGGGTCATGCCGCCGCCGACGTCCAGGTGGCAGACAGAAGTCATCTCACTGCAAGTAGCTCGCTGTGGGGAGCACAGGAAAGGGGGGGGTTCACGAGGTGTTACGGCCATGCACTTAGTACAATCCGGCCCAGGAGCAACGAGGGTATATCAGGCAGGGGATGGGAGCACAGTAAAGGGGGGTCAGGAGATGTAACAGCCATGCACTGAGTACATGGAGACCCGGAAGCAGGGAGGTTATATCGGGCAAGAGAAAGGGATGGGGTTTTGTGTGGGCGGTGGCATCGCACACGACACACGCAAGGGGGGCACGGGTCTGCAGCCTGACTGGGCCGAGCAGCGAGCAGCGGCACCACTACCCATTTGAGCTCATCTTAGGGAAGGGGTGGGGTGGGGTGGGTGTGGGGTGGGGTGGGTGTGGGGTGGGGGTGGGGGGGACGCTGGAGCCGACACGGCAAAGGGTGTGGAATTTGTGCAAGGGTTTTCGCGCTGCTGGGCTGCGGGGACCGCCTGCAAGCAAACGTCTGGGAGCGCACAGAGGCGCAGAGGCGGGTACGCGCCGAGCCGCCTCCGGACACAGTTGCCCCAATCGACGAGCGGCGCGCCAGCACACACGGCGCATGGCCCGGCCGTTGGGCCGGGACAGAACGAACGGGGGCCCAGCAGCGGCGCCATCACAGCCCCTGCCACGCACATGTGAACCGACGCCGTAGCCCACCCCACCCCCCACCCCCCGTTCGCGGCCACCACGCCAAGCGCTGCGCCCCCAAACGCCCCTGGCGCCAACGCCATACCCTACAGGACGCCGCCCTCCCCCCCCCGCCGTTTCTTTTGCGAGAGGAACAAGTGTCGTAGGCAGGTCGCGCGGGGAGCGGGGCGCAATCAAAGGGCGCTGCGCCTCGCCGGCGGCCCGATCCGACCCATCCCGCCGCCGTCCATTCGCGATGGCGCCCTGAGCGAGTGCTCGGCAAGCGCATCCCGCGCGGCCAGCACACACCCAGCTCCAATCTCCGCGGCAAAGCCCACCAGCGTTCCTTGGATTGCCGCTGCCGCACTGGCTCGCCCTCGAGGCCGGCCGAAGCGCGTCGCAGCGAGCGAGGTGCGGCCAGACCGGCCGAATCGCGGGGACGCAGATACGCGGCCCCCGGAGCACAGACACACCGCCACACACCACGCTTTTCCAATAAGGCCCAAGGCGACGGGATCGCAGTGGAGGCTGGGTCGGCGCACGGGCGCACGGGGGGTGCTTGGGCGCCGGTTCTTTCTTCCCTGCGATGGTCTCAGTCGGCCGCACCGATGCCCACCGAGCCAGCCCGGTGGCGGCGTGCGGAGACCGGAGGCGGAAACAGAGCACCCGCTGGTGCACGTGAGGTGTGCCGGGCCTCGCATCGCGGCGCCGCCCCCTCCCCTCTGCCCGCCGCGGCAAAACGACGCACGGCACGCACCGCTGGGAGTTCGTTCGCCGGCGCACAACCACGAGACATACATGCGCCCGTGACCGTCCCAGCTTGGCGGGACGGCCGGACGCACTTCCGCCAGGGCTCAACCCAGCTAACCAAGGTCGGCGTGGCGCCCGTCGGCCGGGCACATAACGCGGGCCAGGCCACCTGCAGTCCGGTGCACCAGCCGGGTGAGGCAGGCAGGCCAATGGCCTCTCCCCGCACCCCCACGCCCCACAGTACCGTCCATCCCCTCGGAAACATCTGGGGCCGCCTCCCAGATGGCGCACGCCCGCCCACCCACCACGCAAACTCCTGGGGCTCCTAGCGTGCCTTTACGTAACGCCCTCTCCTCCCGGACTCCCCGCCTCCTCTCCTCCACCAACTCCTCCGGGGGCCCCTGCTCCTCCTCCAACTCCGCCGGGAACGGCCCGCAGGACCGGGTGGGGGCGCGTAAGGGCGGGGGGGGTGGTGGGAGTACCTCGGAACGGCAGGACAGTGAAGGGACGCGCGCATCCCATGACAGCCGCAGGGGCACCTAACCGCTGTCGGAATGCCGGGCCCCATGTCGGTCTGGGTGAGCAAAACTTCGCTGCCGGGTTCCAAGGATCGGCGCCCTCGGGTGAGACATGAAGCCGGGTGCCGGCGCGGTGGTTTGAGTCAAACGGTCACGTGACGCTTCACCCACACAAAACGTCTCCCGGCAGGCCATCAATCAGGGGGGCGTCATTGACCGGTTTGAGGGCGCGGGGCGGGGGCAGGACAGCGGTGGCTGCGCCCGTGAGTCATGGGGGACTTGACACAGGAAAATCATCCGAAGAGTACGGCAGGTGCGGGCGTGATTCGCTTGATCATGGGTTACAATCTGCGCTTGGATCTGAGGACCAATGTGCAAGCAACCCCCGCCAAATCAGGAGATGCCGCAGACAGCTGGCGCGGTCGAGAGCACGGCTTGAGGTAGGGTGAATATTTCTTTTTGCGACAGTGGACTGTTCTTTTTTGCGACAGTGCCAAACTACTCTTTTTTGCGACAGTGGATATGACTAATGCACAGCTTGGGAAGGCGGCGGACCTTCGAACTAGCTCGCCTAACCGCCCCCGCCTCCCTCCACCCGCCACTTGCCACCGGCCGCTACCAACCGCCGTCGCTATTGTTCGCTGCCCGAGGGATCGTTTTGTGGTCCCTCGAACTTCACGACTCAATGCTGGGCTTGTCTGGGGTCTGGGTGACGCACAGGGCCGGGCTGCGCCAAATCAGCACTAGGGTTGCGCCAATCGCTGAAATGCCGCCAGTGGCAGCCCGCCACAGGTCGTGGCTCACAGGGCGTGCCCCCACCCGGCAGCGAAACCTGGTCGTGTGACCAGTCAACGGCGCTGGGCGTGGGCGCCTTGATGGTCGATGCTTGGACGGCAATGGCGCCGGCAACCAGCGCCTTGGCCTCCCCGTCTGGCGTCACAAGCAACACTCCCTGGGCCCAGTTCGCGGCGCCGTCTCCCCGCGCGGCTAATTGCCCGCATTTCAGAGGACTAGCATGGCAAAACCAGAGCTGGGAAGGAAACGGGGGGCTGCACCCTCAGCCGATTCGGCTGAATCTCAGCGCCAAAGTGATCGCCGAATGGTAGCGGCAGCCCCCTTCTGCAAGGTGGGGACCCTGGGCGTCCCAAAACGTTCCCGTTTCGCCTTTTGGCCCTTTCTCCGAACAGACGCGCCTTCAGCACCGTTGTGAGAGAAGGCCCCGTGGACCGTGCAGGGGTGGTGTGGCAAATCTGATGCCAACATCTCGCGCATCAATTATCGCTACTGTCGCAAAAAAGAACTTATCGCAAAAAAGAACAATTTCACTGTGGCAAAAAAAATAGTAACCATGAGGTAGGACTCTCATTTAAAATCATCCTGAACCTCGGAACTCCGATCTGTCGTGGCGCACCCAAAGGAAACGTGGAAATGACGTAAGCAGCTGGGAGCGATGGCTTTGTGGAAATGTGGAAACGCCGCAACCGGTTCGCAGGGATGGTTCTGTGGGGCTTTGCATGCGTGGGTGCTCTGAAAGCCGCTTGCATCCTCCAACCGGTTTGCCATTCCGCAGCCTTCCGAAAACTGTGCGGGAGGCCACCCACTTCGTCAACCAGTTGCCAGTTGGTGCCGGCCAGAGGCGGTGTACCAAAAGCCACCCTGGGCGCTAACGGAAATCGTGTCTCACCGGATTCGAGGCCATCTTCCAATAGCATCCAATCAGCGTTCCAATCCAATAGCAATCCACTCAGCGTTGCGGGTCATTGCCAAAATCGCAGTCTTCCGAGCCATCGGGTTAGTGTGGCCCCCGAACCCAGAAACGCAGTAGTGACCATTGCCGGACAGCCAACAGGCTTTGATGGACCTGGCCGGAATGCAACCCGAAACAGGGGGGCCTTTCAATGGGACGAGACCTCGTGTGGAATGCTCTGCAAAGGTGCCCGGGGTGTGCAAGCCACTCCGTGGTTTCGAGTTGAGCCAAAGCTTGGCGCGAACTCCCCGCCGCGAAGGAAGCAAGGTGGGGACCGAAAGGGGAGCAGGATCAATGGCGCACAAACTCGGATCACTGACAGCCCGCCGCTCTCAAGCGCACCAAAGCCTATCCTCCTTGAATTCCTTGGACTTTCATGGACCACAGGCACCCTGCAGAACCTGCCTGGTACCTAGGTATTGGTCAGGCGGGCAGGCACAAGGGCAGCAAAAGCATACGAAAGGGAGAGCCGACTCAAACTCCACAGGCATCCCATCCAGCGTTGCCCTTGGTGGATGCCCATAAGCAAAGTCGGCGACTTCATTCCTAGTGCAAGCAGACGACAAGAACAATGGCCCTGAACAAAATGGTAAAAAGCTATAAGCGTCCAGAGATTCAGAGGCAACAATGTTGCGTGGCGACAACGTTATGCTCTAAAATTAAAAAAAAGTCTTGATGTTTGACATTCTTGACCCCTGCTCCATGGCAGCAGGCCTTTCCGTCCGCATTTCCGTCGAGGCATGGTTTTGCCCCTGGCACCCCTGCATGAATGCGCGGCGACCGTCAGACCTCACTACCATTGGCACAGCCACCGAACATTCACAACCGCACAGCCATGATGCGTGGCAATCCACAACGCTCTCAACTCTGTCTCAAATGGCTGCCCATCTGTCAACCCAACTTAAACAGTGGGAAGCCGGCAACTTGGTACAGGAGTGATTGTTCAAAACACACAGCAGCCCTTGGAAATGAAAAGAATGGCCACATGGGGAAGAGGGGTGTCTAGGTTCCCATCCCTGTGCAGAAAGTGCCCAACAGGTTTGACACCACCACTGACAAACTCATACTTGCCGCTCCTTCCGCACCCTTGCCCCTCTCACCATTTCAGCCACCTCCAATTACACGCTTTCAACCCGAATTCCGGCTAAGCACTCCGCGGCACACAGAACATAGCAGTAGGCATGGATGCTGCACGCATATCCACCTATACCCGCTACTGTACAAAAACTATGGTTGCCTCCATGCCACGTTCAGTCAACAGTTACAGACTCCCCTGCCAGCGACAAAGAGTGGAGGTTGTGGAGCCGCGCTGCCCTCGTTCTCGACGATAGATATATAGATATAAATATGCGAGAAGGTCCATCACTGGTTTCCAGTGGCACAAACACGTGCCACCCATGGGAGGTAGCCCAGCTGGCAGCTCTGTTATTTCCTCCATCAAAACTAAAATTGCCGGCACCACTGCTGTTCCCCGCTGCGATGCGGGGACGCGTCTTATTGCCACGTACATCCCACCTACTGTCATCTACTGCTGGATCTATGCTCAACTTTCGAAAAACAGGGTGCCCTTTCTTGCCGCACGTGTTCGGCTAGCCACAGGTGTCTCCCTGACCACCGACAAGCAAGAACATCCTAAATCATATGAACAGGCATCCTGCCTTCGTCAGCAACAATTTTCCGTCCCGAATGAATTCCATCCCCAACTACTGACACACTGTTAGCTTCGACAGTGCAAGTAGCTAACCCATCAACAAAACTCAAGTAAGCAAAGCGCAAGCAACTTGGTCTATAACTTGGTGCAATTTGCACTTTGCTCTACACATATATATTTGTGCTGTCATCATTCCATGGCAGATTCCAGCTCAACTTGCAAGGGACACCAGTATACGCCGCCTTCCTCCTTGACCCATAGTCTATCCATATCCCCAAGAATCAGGGTCACACATTGCATCCGTATGCGCGGTGGAACTCTGCCACCACAATTCCCGCTGCACATCCTGTCCACTCGTGTGCAGCCCAGCAAAACTATGACACGATTGTCCCGTCAAACAGTAAACACGCATCATGGCCAGAGCCCAGGCAGTAGATCCTTTCGGTCTACCTTCCTATGCTGCAAATTTGACAATGGCAGCAGAACAGAGAGCTTCCATACCTCAATGCCAGGGACTTGACTATGAAGGAAGAGCCCATGCGAACCCACAGCCAGTCTTGATTCTGCAGAGTACAACTCTGATACAAAAGCAACCCATCACTTGATGCCAGCATACTTGGCTTCACTCCAAGTTTGTGTGCCTTGAGCGCATGTCGGAGGGGCTCACATGGCATGCCTTCCTCAACATGATGCTCATGCACTCGAACAACAGCCACATGCTCATTTCGTAGGACGCCCCCATCTGGAGGATGCTCCAGCGCCCTTCGGGCAGGAAGGACATCAGATCTGCGCCTGTGCCATTCAGGTTCTGGTTCATTACTGGCATCGATGGCGGCAGCGTCTGAGCAGGTATGCGTATGACGTGCTCAGCAAACGGCAAGTCGGCGGTCTTGTGGGCGGTGAAAGCAATGACCACAGCGTGCGCCCGCATGGCCTCCAGAGCCAGGGCGCTCACCTGCAAGCACGACCACACTCAGCACACGTTCTTTCAGACATTTTCAAGCCTGTTCTGAATGCAAACCGTAAGGGTCTTGGACAGCATCGAGGCAAAACTACCACAAGCTCTTTGTTTCTGCAAAGAACAGTCACATAGCCCAAGTTCTAAAGTCCAATAAAATGGAGAGAACTTCAGAGTCTTATCGTCCAATTCAAGCCAGCACCATATGCACAGTGTAAAGCTTATATGAAGCCCGTCACTGGCCCAAGGCCAATGGCTAAGGTGCACGGGATGTCCTTTGTCGCTCGTGACTACAGCAGCCAAAGGCTTTACTTGCAGAACCTGTTCTGAACTTACAGATGAGCAGAGCTTGTGGACTCCGGGCTGAGGGCACCTTCCTCAAAAGCAACAACCAACAGCGAATGCACAAAACCAATAATGCCAAAAGATGTCCACATGCACAAATGACTTCCAGGCCATGGAACGAAGAAGGCAGAAAGCATGCAGACAGCATAAGCACTGGCTGCCACCACACCGGCATGTTTCTACAAGTAAACTTTGACCGATAGCAGCAGTGCACACCGTTGCCTCCCCAGGTGCAAGGACCTTGTTTTGCCCTTATTTTTGGACAAACGGAAGCAGCACAATTCACACACAACATCTTGTTCCCTCTGTACACTCACCGAGCTGTAATAACTAGGGCCTGCGCTCACAAGCATCAAGTCATCTGCCCCAAAAGGGGGCATGTTTGTGTCACCCGTGCAGTACACCTCGAAGCCCAAGTGGTGCAAGCTGCTAGCCAGAGCCCTCATCACAAGGCCCTCCCGTCCGACGCCACAGCAAACTATCCTGTTGGCACTTCGGATGGACTTTGCCAAAGTGATGATGTCCTGCTTGTCAACTGAGGACAGGATGGACGACAGTTCTTCGAGAACAGATGCTGAAACCTTGCCAAAATCTTCCCATGGTACCTGACGGCCAAGCATGAACTAGTGTGAGGGAATGGCTAATGGGCTCGCACTTGTGGCACCCGCCCTGGTTAAGACTCTGGCAAGCCATGAAAGCCCAATGATGTGTTGCCACACGCTCAGCTGGCTCCCATAACAACTTTAAGTGGAGGTTTCAAGCATGTTGAGATAACCTGGCGGCCAATTTCGCCTCACAGCTTCTCGCACAAGCATACCCTATTCTTGTGCCCCTCAGTGGAGGGCAAATGCAACCAGATGTCATCCTCTGTTGTAGGGGCACATCCCATGGCAGGCACAACAAGGCTGAGGCTGTGGTTTACCTCATTGTCACTCTCCTCTTCCTCAACCTTCATTGTCTCAGCTGGCTTGGCCTGCAATATGCAAGCTCATTTGTCAACCCTTGCTTGCCGTCAGGTCCAAGATGCCTTTTGTGCACAGCATTCGCACCTGCTAAAGAAAGCTGCCTTTCAATCCAAGGTTGTGCCCCTGGTGCTCAGCTGGTACACATGCTGCAAGAAGTTTTGGTCATTACAAATTCTACTATATGCATGCTGGAACCGCCAAAAACCAAAAACTCTTATAGCACAAAAGAAAAATCATTCCAGTAACAACACCACACCCTATTACTCGGCGACACAGTGGTCTTATACCCAGTGTGCTCAAAGCCCTCTGCAACATCAAAGATCTTCACCTTTGGAGGTGGGCGCTTGCATCTTGACAGACGGTTCTTGAGCCACACCGTGACCTGATTTTCGGTCGCATGGCCAGCTCCTTGAACAGCAGCATGCAGCTCTGGAGTTGCTTTTGTGTAGCCTGCAGAAGATCAGTAGTCCCAAATTACAAGGTTTGGAAAGGACAAGGGCAATGAAGAGGCTCTCAGGCATTTCTTCCCAAACGGCACCTCGTGCTCAAGGCATGCCATGTATGCATATGAAAATCGCTGCTTTCACACTCTCAGTTTTGAATGCTGAAACTCAGAAGGGCAGCAACCAGCAGAGCAGCAGCAACTCCACCATCACCAGCAGAAGCTGCCAGTTCAACAGCTAGCTCTTGTATGAGGCTTCACAGTGGTGAATGATGCAAGGCAACAGAAGTGGCAACAAAAGGATTGTTCAACCTTGTGGAAAGCCTTCTTAATTCCTGCTTCCAAGCCGCCTTAATGGGATTGTGCTCTGTACAGAAAACTGTCCCAGGCAACTGAGATATGCAAGATATGCAGCAACACGTCCTTGTTCAAACACACAGCATGGCCTCCTCCACGAGGCAGGCAGTTACACCAGTGCCTGCCAGATCGAATCACTGCTGTAACAGCCGACATCATGAGGCCAGGTTTACACACATGTGGTTGCTGCGCAGGCGCAGAAGCCAACAGCAAAGTCCAGCATGAACCACCAAAACCACTGGCCTACGCGTGCCACCACACCTGAGTTGAAGTGCTGCTCCAGCAGGCACAACTGCACAGGATTCGGTTTCCACCGCGTCTTGGTCCCCTCCTTCGCGCTCATGACCAACCTCTCGCCATTCTCCCCGATGCCCGGGTTCCCCATCCTCGTGCCTGCCTGCATCATCGACCCCATGCCCTGGAACACCGATTGCCCGATAGGCCCAGCGCCCATCTGCCCCCCCAGGGGCGCCTCCAGTATGATGTCCGAGTCCGACATCGTCCTGGACACCCTGGCAACCGACCGGTACAGTCCCAGGCTGGGCTGGATGCCACCCACGCTCCTCGCACGGTGCACCAGCATCTTGGTGGGCCGGCCGTTGGCGTCCACCCGCGTGGGCGTCTGGCCCACCTGCCTCAGGGACGTGTCCGAAGACCCCTTGGACACAAAGCGGTGCCCGGCCAAGCCCTGCCCCTGCATGGGCTTGGACTGCCCGCAGGCCATCGAGTAAGCACCCCCCTCGATGTCTGCCATTCGATAAGCGCCCGGCGACAAGCAATCCATGGCCATCATCCCCTGCCCCTGCGACGGCACCACCTGGATGGGCACCAGCTCAACCGGCTGGTCCACGGGCACGCCCGCCACCATCATGTCCTCCCCTTGCTTGAAGTTGTAGCCCGTGTAGCCGTGCTCGGGCGATGACTTCAGCGCGTAGCCCTCGGCGGAGCCGTGCAGTCCCCCATCTAAGGACCCCCCCTGCAGCTGCTCCCCAACCGCACCGTGGTCGGCTTCCATCAGGACCGTGGTGAGGAGGTGATCGTCCCTGAGCGCTTGCTGCGCCTGCTGCGCGGACTGAACGTCCTGCAGGTCGAGTGAGTGGCCGGACGCCACCTGGGCGTCGCCGGCCTGCATGTGGGCGCCCGCGCTGCTCCTACGTACGGCGCCCCTGGGCCCGCGATGCTCCGTGGAGTTGTGGGGTCCCCTGGAGGCAATGCGAGTTTTTGGAAGTCTGAGAACTGAGAACGAGGAGTTCAGGAGTAGTGGGCTGCCCTGGAGGCAGTGCGGATGTTGCAAGTCTGAGAGCGCCCAAGTCAGGGCAAGCGGTGGGCAATGACGACTACCTTATGCGGAAAGGGAAGTCAGGTCAAGGGGTTCGGAGTGTGTGTGGCGGGTGGGAGGGGATTGTTCGGTCACAGAAGTGGCCACGACTGGCCGTGGAGTGGCATTCACGTGGCTGCGCCTTGCAACGGGGCCACCGCGCAGTCGTCGCCATGCGCCGCGGAGCGCTGTGGGAGCGGTGGCGAGCGGCGGGCTCCCATGGAGGCAGCGCGGACGGGTCCCGGAAGCGCGCGGCCCGAGGGGCGCCGCGGGCTATGACGACTACCGCGGCGGGGATGGGAAACTCCAGCCGAAGGATTCGGAAGAAAGGGGCATGCGTTCGGGTGAAACAAAGTGGTCCCCAAGACGGGCCTTGGAGAGGATTTTCAATGGCTGTGCCTTGTCAGGGCGATCCTGCGAAGTCGGCGCCGTGCATTGGCCACCGCCGTGCCGAATGCGGGCGGCACGCCGCGCCGCGTTTCTCCGGCAGCCAAGTTCGAGTTTCAACAGTGGGAGCGTCGCGTTGCGCCATCGGCAGCTCCGAAGCACCGCCGGTCAGACCGCATCGACGGTCTCCCGCCGACATGCCGCGCCGCCGAAAGCAGCGAGTCCACCCCGCCCCCACCGCGCCAAGGCGCCACCCGACGCATAAGGCGCCGCGTGGGCCAGCGTCCTGATCCGCTGGCCGCCCACATGCGACCCGGGCGCAATCAGCGCACGGAAATATGACCCAGTCCGAGGTCCACGCGCGATCAACCCCGCGCCCGCCTCTCCCAAACCACCCCCTGCCGCTCGCCAGCGCAAGTCGCGGCGACGACAGCCACACGGCTGCGGCCCAGCGATCCGCACCCCACGCAAGCGCTCCAACCACACGCCCCCACCCCCCACCCCACACACACGCGTGGACCCATCGCGCCAAATGGGCAGCCGCCCGGTTGGGCACAACTGCGGGGCCTTATTCTTCCCCCACCCCACCCCGCCCCAGGCAGCTTCAACCAAGCCGCGCGGGGCCGTTGCGCCTGTCAAAGGACGCCCCCCCGCGTCCTGCCGGTCAGCCCGGCCGCTCCGACGGTTCAGCGACCGCTCACGTACAGGCGCACGTAACAACTGCGCCTGGGCGAGCGCGTATGAAGTCCCCAAAGCCACGGAACGGCGCCCCCGGCCCCGGTTCCGCCTTCAGATCCGCTGCCAGTCAGCCAGCATCCGATCGGGCGCCCCGACGAGACGCGGTCACGTCGGGGGTTTGGGCCCCCCACACCACACGCCCCCGGTTAAACCCCGCCCGTACGGCCACCCACTATGCGCCAGCAAGCGAGAGCTCCCCTATCCGAACATCCCAGCCCATCAAACCCTTCTCAAGGGCGCGTCCCGGCCCCCCATGAAACACACCGCCTTCCCCCTCACCTTCCCCTCCCTCCCCTCACCCCCCCTTCCGGCCGCAATGGCCCGCCCATGACTTCCCCCCCCTAGAGAACCATCCCGGCTACAATGAAGCCCCTAACAGAGGCCAATCCCGCCTCGCCGCCCGCGCTCCTCACCTCGCGGCTCCTCAGATTAGCTCAACGCCGCCCGAACTCCCCCGCTTCAGCCCCGGACGATCCAGCCCACAGGGTACCCCCGCTCTGGGTGTGCGCCCCGCAGCGCCGCGCCTGTGGCCGGCCCACGCCCCGCTGTCCTGGCGCGCACCGGAGCAGCCGGGGCGGGTGCGCCTCCTCGTCCGGGGCCTGGCGCCGCTATTTCTGGATCGGTGGGCACCGGCAGCCTAGACAGTCAGCGCGCATCACTGTCCCTTCGGATATGTGCGCGAGCACGGGAATGTCGAGCGGCGGTGGGAGGCTGGAGTCGGGCTGGTCGGGCTTGTCGTATCGTTCAGGGCCGCCAGTGACCGGGATGCTGATCCCAATGATGGGCTAAACCGGGTGATGGCACTCCTCGGTTGCCCCCTGAGTTGCGTGGTAGGTTGGAAGCGCGCGAACGCCATCAATCACGGGCGTTTCAGTCATCCAGGACCGTGCCCGTGTACGCTCAGGACGGTGCGGGGCACGTGGAGGCTGATGCAGCGGAGGAACCTGGACCGCGCGAGGGCCCCCGGCGCCTGCGCCTTTGACCCACTTGGAGTCACCAGCAGATTGAAGGGACGTGGGCTACACCGCTTGATTGATCTCCGCGCGTGATGGCGCTGCCCACACTTCTGATGAGGTTGATGGGGCGCCGGCTGGGACTGGGGCTTCCACTGTCAGGGTGCTCCTGCGTGCGCCAGCGGCCCGTTCATGTACTAGATGTCGTGCGAGGGCCGGGCGCACATGGCAAATGTGCGTGCGCCTGAGGGCTGGGCTACATAGCCCCGGGGATTGATGTCCCGCCCGAGGGTGCGGAGCGAGCGGTTGTGTGGCGTTGCGCGCCGCCTGAAAATGCCCATCATTTGCAGGTGGGGTTGCCATCTCCCCGTTTTGATTTCCACACTATTTTCGTCGTACCGATGCGCCCCTAAAGTATGATTGATTGAAGTTCTGCTCCAGGGGATTCTGCTCATCCCGCCCGACAAGCGCGTTGGCCGACGAACATGATAATCTCATCCGAGGTTGTCCCGACACGACCCCCATGACTGTTGGTCAGTTTGTTCCAAGCTCCGTGCATTTACCAGAGTACCAAGCCCTGAAGACTTCGCACTTCAGTCGGTTCTCAAAACCGAATTCAGCCTCCAAAGGACGGTCGGGTAGGACCAAACCAAGATGCTCCGCAGTCGTTGGGCGCCCTTTGAGCGGGAGGATGCCCGCTGACCGAGGAACCCCCTCCCGCAACTACCCATTCAAACAGAGGCTCGGCCTCGGCTGTACTTGAAACGTGCCTGGAGCGCACAGTTTCCTAAGCTGACGTTAAACGCGGTCTGTGGACCGAAGGTTCCAAAACAGCCGTGTGGCCGGTTGCCCAATGCATATTGCGCCGCCAACGTACCACATTTTCTCCTTTTATGACCAGTTCAATCTGGTTGTCGTGCAATATGTTGGGCATTTCATTCATGGAGTCTCAGCCTTAAACACTCGTTGATCGTCGCCATTCTACGCACTTTCCGGCTCGTTGTTAATGCTCCGCAACTCCAGGAAAAGGAACAGAATTCTCAGTGCCTGTCCATGCTAATTCTCTGAGATGTATGTGGTGACTTTTCACCCAGTCTGGAAGGTCGTGGCACAGCTCCGCCTGGGGGTTCAGCGACTGAGTCTAATGCCCCGTGTTTCTTTGCGGGAACCGGTTAGCAAGCCGAAGGAACTCCCACCGACGGCGCGTGTGTGGGGAACAAGCCGCCGCCTGGGTGTTCCTTGGTGATGGACGTGAGGCTTCTCTACGCAAGATCGCAAGGGATAGCAGCCAACCGGGTACTCCCTTCACTTGTGCTGGTGCGTGAGCTTATGTTGCCAAGAACACCAAGGGTGGCTGACGTCCGGGGCCTTCCCTACAAAGTCAGCGAAGTGCTGGAAGGACGCGTGCCCTTCGTGGCTGGCACTATGCACCTTTGGCCCTTCATGCCCAGTACTTTCCAGAAATCTTTGTCTGACCACTCCGGGAAATGAACGTTGGGATGGTGTCACGTGAGCGCACAGGGTGATTTCTTCAACCTTGATTTCCTATTTTCCCACGCCCCCCGCGCTTACTCCTTAGGTTTGCAACTCGAGGCTCGCAATCGATCTTCTGTGTGCTTCCTTCTCTTTGATAGCGAGTGTGGCTTAGTAGTAGGTCGGGTACCAAATACTCGGGCCATCCCATGCAGGGCATGCAATGTATGCACTACCCATCGCTAGCCAAAACACAAGGGAGATCCACACAGTGAAAATGTTGGTCGTTATGTAGCGCCCCCAGGGCCATCCAATCATCCCACCAAACATCTAGAACATCCTCTTGGTCCTTTTCAATTAGTGCGCACAGGTGCTGTGGACTCAAGACTACCATCCCACACTGTTCACCAAACCTTTCTGCCATCATCCGCCTGCTGACTGTATGCACAAGTTGCGAAAACCTTTTGGCTGTTATTGTGCCTTTCGACCTGTGCAAGTGTGCTCGTCACCGGGAAGAGTGTTGGACGCGAAATCTGGAGACAATTTCCCGATGTGCTTTTAAAACTGCTTTCCTCGCCTTTCGCAATCTTTGGCAGCGGACTGAATTTCACGCTTAGAAACATTGAGCACTCAGCATCCGCACACGGCCAACCCTTCCTCGCCTATGGGGTTGCGCCACCAGATCAGGAAAAGGCACCAAGCATGCGGCCCACATGTGGACACATATCGACATGTCCATTGGTGCATTTAGCAACGCCGGTATGGAGGCACAGGCTGCGGCATATTGAGGTATGCAACAGAGAGCCATTCAGCCACGCAGGATCCGAAATGCAACATGGTGGCGGAAGTCATCAAGTGCAGTTCGACCAAGCGGGTAAAGCCCTCTCTTGCAGGGTCGGACTGGGGCACGCCCCAAGGATATTCATTTCGCATTCGACGGTGGCAACCCGGAATGCTAATTGTTTCGAAGGCACATGCCAGGGAAACAGCACATCTAAGAAATGGCTCACCCCTGGGGTACTCATTTCGCATCGAAGGCAGCACGCAACCACTCCGAAATGCTGATTGTATTGGAGGGCACATGCCAGGGGAAGGAAACAAATCTAAGAACCCGACTTCGATACTGTCGGTCCCCGAGCGATCACGTATTCAGCCCGCGCCAATGAAAAACAACAAAAAATTGCGCGCCGCCCAACAAAGAAGCCCCTTCTGGTCACTCCAATCTAATGGTGGAAAATACAGCGATGTGGAGCGATCAAAGAATGCAACCCTCCTGCCGCTACCCGCCGCGTCAGCGACGCTCCCAGGACGTCACAGGTGATGTCAGCCATCGCTGGAAGCCCGATTCAGCCGTTGGATCATGGATTCAAAGGCCGCCATGTACCTTGGGACAAAATGGTCCATCAACATGGACCTGCACATCCTCATTCTGCCATACGACTCCTGGGGAACGTCAAGGAACAGCACGTGCTCCCCGCCCTCCTCCTCCGGGCCCTCCTCGGAGGTCCCCGGGTCGCCATGGCCCCCATTCAAATCCCCTTCACTGCGATTCTGCTCTTCGGCAACCTCGTCCCCGTCTGAATTCGTGAGCACAGACACAGGCAGCTCACAATGGTCCTTGCCACCTCCCCGTGCCCAATGCTGTCCAGACGAAGACGCGGTCGCTCCGTTCACTCCACTCGTCGCCGCTCCGAACCTCCCATGGTCAATGTTCCCCCCCGCAAGGCACGCCCCCATCTCCCTCAAGACGCCCTCGCCAAGCTCCCCACACTCCTCGTCACTCCTGCTCTCCGCGTTCAAAATGTAGGCCGGCACCAAGTGCAGCAATCTGCCGGCGGGGTACAGCTGCCGCCTCGACTGCATGTCAGCAATGGAGCCTGAAGAGGCGGAAGCGTCCTGGCTTTCGGTCCCCTGAATGGTCCGTCCATCAAACACTCCCTCCTCCTCTGCAGGCTCCATCTCATCCCCTGTATCCAGATTCTCGACCTCTGCAAAAGATGACCCCTCTGGGGATGTTCCCTTCCCTCCATCAAGCAGAGGAACCGATGAAGCTCCCTCTTCCGCAGCACTCTGCAACATTGGGTCCTTTGATGCCCTTTGGGGCGCAAGGACGCTCGTCCACAGGCTGCTCGAGTACCTAGCCACCATCCCACCAGTCTTCTGAAGCCGGTCTCCGAATCGGGAGACCCCGCTGCTCAAGTACTGATAGGTCGTCGTGCTCTGTGCCGCCTGCTCAGTGGCTGCTCCCTCTGCAATGCCATATCTCTCGCTGTTGCCCAGATCTGGAGGGTCGTCACACCCCTGATTGACATCTGCCATCGCTGCGCTACAATTTTCAATCTTCATTGGGCTTGCAGTATCAAGACAATCCCCATCATCACAGCTGGATGTGGCTGTCAAGCTGCTCAGATGAACAAGCCCTGCCCTGGACGCATCATTGGTAGTTGCACTGGCTGTTGCAGCCTCCTGAATTGATTGATTTGGTTGCTCTGGTGCCTGTGCTGGTTGATCTCCACTGGTGAATTGGCCAGCACAGTTGTTTGGTGGGTTCTCTCCAGAGGACGGGCCATCCCACAGGGCTTGGCCTTCGTCCCCTTGACCACCTGTTTGGTCTGGCTTGTGCCTTGGCCCTGTGCAGCGGGCCGCATAGCATGAGCGAACTCCCCAGGATGCAGACTCCCAGGAGCGGCTGGTCCAAGAGCTTGCCATGTGGACAACCCTGTTGGCAAGCACAACAATAATGGTGACCTTGACAGTGGCAACATCCTCAACACTAAATGATCTTGATGGCAGCAGAGAATGCGATAGGGAAAGCAGGGCGTTCGAGCAAGCAAGGGAAGGCAGAGACTGGATGTGCTCGAACGTGTGCATGAGGGCAAGGACGTTACTCCCTTTTGAATCTAAATTGTTTCGTTATACTCCGTGCAGCAAGAACAAGGCTGGCACTCCAAATCAGGTGAATACTTGCACAAGAGAATAAACTTGTGTTTGTTGAAAAGGCTCATCTATCCTTTCCCAAAACGACTAACAGAGATGCCGCGCAACAGAAGTGTTTGTTGTGAACAAAGCAACATACAGAAGAGTGTCACAACACATGCTCATGAGTGACAACAAGTGCATGCTGTGATTTCTCACCCTCTGATGCTGCCTTCCACAGCCTGCACCACCCTAGAAGATCGCATGTCCCGTTGGAATGCACTCGCCCAGGACGACGCTGCAACCTCCTCCTTCAGTTGATCAAGAGAACCTGAGATGAAGCACACCAACCTCATGAAGCCCTTGTTCACACAAGACCGCCAGCAGTGACATGGACATTGTTGTGGTCGTCTGTATGGAGGCAAGAACCTTGTTTTTGTAATTTGAGTAGTCTCGTTAATCGCCGTCCATTTCAGCACGTAAAGGGCCAGCCAAGCATCGAGCCTGTCTCAGTGCGTTGCACACAGACAATGGCAGATGAGCATAAGGATGGCCGACAGTGCTCGCAAACTCAGATCCGGAACAGCTGCAATGCAAATGTGAACATTTGAGTGGGTGCTTTTCATTCAACTGGGCCCTTCGGCTTCAGGTGGTCAGTATAGGCTCCATTCAGAGGATGACTGTCAAAGGCAGGGACACCTTGGACAGCACATAGCTTGGGATTGACAACATTGCTGCCTGTTGTTGAAACTCTGTTGTGTTCCTTTGATTACATGTGCATATTGTGACCGCAAGGCGATGTTGGGCATATGGCCGCATGCGCAATGTTCAAAACACGATCTGCCTAAACGGCAATTTCCAAAATAACCTCAATTCAATTTCCTGAATGACAACAGCAGTTCGTGTGAACATCTCTGCTTTCAGGATGGGTATGGCAGCACTATCTTATAAGCTGGCCTCCTGAAAGTGAAGCAACCAGCTCGAAAGAAGCAAAGATAATAATAATCTGTGTGAACTCTTATCTGCAATAAAAAAAGTTTAGATAAGGTAAGAAGCTGCTCACCTGGGCTCATTGTTGGCACCAAATCAGTTCCATAAATGTAGCTGGTCACGTATGCACTGCAAGACTTTGCGATCTCTAGCGTCATGCAGCCTGGACATGCAAACACAGTGCATTCCACGTCGCCAAACTCTGGGTGCTGTTCACGTATCCTGCAGCAAAACGCAACATAAACAAACTTATGTGTTGCTGATGGCGCAACACCCATCCATGGACACCTTCTGTAGGCACCTTCTGTGGCTTATCTTACTTCAAAAGAAGAGGCCCAGTAAGCCGGATGGGCAGAACATCTGGGCGATTGCGCATCTGTTCTATGCAAGTGAGGTGCTTTTCGCACTTCACTGCCAATGGCAGCTTTTCATGCCTCCTAGGTTTCTGTTCAGCCTCCCACACAGGGCCGGCTGCAGGGATGCGTTGCATGCTTGGGGAAAAACACAAACACTTTGGCTTCCCTGTTGTACCTGGAGAATGTCGCAGCATGGCTTCATACCAGTTCAAGGGCATCCTCCCTACTTCCGCACTTCAAAGAGCTTCTCCCCACATTTCAGATCAATATTCCCCAATGTGCATAAACAATAAACAACAAAAGATCTCAGATTCCTGTCAGAGTTGCCTGATAAATTTGATTCAGGGCTGCGCTTGCGATCACATAAGCAAAAGGCAGCATTCGCTTCTAGTGCCGATCCCAATTCCACCATCCCCCGGCCAACATGGCTTTGGGCCTATCTGCTCTATGAAAGGAAAATGACCACCAGGAATCTTGTACGCTACTCTGACTGTGAGTGCTCAAGAACCTGCATTGTAAGTATCCCAAGCCCCCTCTGACAAACATGCCAAGGCAGAGCTGGGCACTACAATCTGAAACTGCAACTGTCTCACGCAGTCAGATCTCTGAGCACAGTCAGCAGGCAGAATTCTGTTAGGTTACTTTAAGGGCCCCTTGCACACACAAGGCCAGGACAGCAGGCGATCGACATAAACACATTTCTAGTATAGGAAATTAGCACTGTGATCAGACACCATGCACACAGCACTGTTGCTGATCAGACAGCCCATACCATCAGCACACTCGAAACCAAAGAACAAGACGATACTGGCATCATGATTCAATCCCAAATTTGCCTCCCTGAATGACATTGAAAGAAGTGAGCCACTGCACCATCTCTACCAAGGAATGCAGCAGCGATCTCCCTCTCCTTCCATCCAATTACATATTTCAATCAACTCAATCGTAACTGTACAAATTTTCTGTTCAGCCTTGCAACTATGAAGATTTGTCTTCTTCTGCAAAGGCAGAAGGGGAAACAATGGTCACCCCTCTCTTGTTCACAAGAGAGATAGTTCATTGAGATTTATTTCCCTGCTGGAGGTCCCCAAGTGACTGGTCACACCAGAGTGGGATATTGAGTGTACAAGTCTGTGCTAAAAGAACAACCAAAACAAGACACATTTGCACAACAATGCCCTGCAGTGAACGGCCAACAAGCAGCTACTTTCTTGACATCCGCTGCAAGCAAAGCTACTTCACTCACATCATTGTCAGCATTGCTGCCGCTCCACCGCCCATCGAATGGCCTGTGATTCTTAGGGCATAGCCAGGATTTGCTTCCATGGCATCCTTGATCATGGGACTGGCTTCCTTCAGGATCCACCTGGCAGCTGCCAGCATGCCAAAATGCGAGTAGCCCAACACCACTCCATTCTGATCGACCACATGATGAGGTTTTGTGGCACCTGGGTAGTGTGGGCAACGAAATTCAGTTGCCTGGCTGACCCCAAGCAGTCCAATGAAAACAGCAACTCCTGAAATCCACATGTGCAACATGCTGCATGCATGGAAGCACACATATTTGTGTGAAGGCATATGCATGGATGAGTTCTTTTTTACAGGATTATGTACAGATAGAACATCAACCATCACTGTTGCATAGGACATGGATCGACAGGTTGTGGTGTTGCATTCAGCTGTGTGCTTGTGTGTCCAACTTCCAAGGAACCCAGTGGCAGATTTCTATCAGGTGCGCTATGGGTACACAATTGGAGATCTAGATCTTGGCCAAACTCTGACATGCTGTACCTGACATAGTGGTGAACAAATCCTTGACCGACTTGGTGCCCCTTATGGCCAGCACCAGCAGATGAAGCTTTTCATCGCGCACAAACACGAAAGCTGGCCGCAGCACGGCAGCTCTGGAACGATAGATTATGAAATCCTGGGCACCTGGAGCGCATCAACTAAAGCCGATCAAGGATAGCAGCAAACACTCAGAAGCGACATCAAATTGAAACATCCATATTTAAGACACCAACTGATCACCTGAGGTTCCAGGAGCTGTGGATTGTCAGAGTCCTCAAGACATGCACTCACCACTACCTAACCTCTCAACACTTGGATCTAAAACCACTGAAGCAACAAGCTACCTGCCCCACCAATGCCAGCTGATCTCCGAACAGGTTCACAACCTTGACCACCCCTGCACCCTCACCCTCACCCCTTCATCAGCACCAGCAAAATGAATGCATGCATAGCCCACCCCATTGTTGCACTATTCTTAGCTCCTGAGTTAGAACTGATAAACAGTGCTGTGGTTGTCTATGCCTCTTGCAAGCATCGATCAATCAATTCATGACCTGCTGGCTGGCTCAACTCATATGTAGGACTGATCATCAGTGACAAGACAAGGATGTTATTTTGGGCCTTGTTTTTGAGTTGACTTGTGGAGATACCATGCAGAACATAACTCTGAGCATCCAAAGGAATGCCATTGTTAATATGCCTCAAGGCATCAGGATATTGCTCCATCAATTTGAGCATATTCGATCAGAGCAGAAAACACTAGACAGTGTCTAGTGGACAGAGCAGTACATTGTGTATCCTGCCACACTGCCACACTCATATTGTACGAATTACACTTGTCTGTTGCCAAAAGCTTTCCTCAATGCGCAGCATCTGTGGCCAAAAGGGCATGTATTGAGGTACGCGTCCTGCCACAGTCCGACAGGTCAGCCCTGTCTGTTCTTAGTTCAGCAGAAACTAAGCAACTTTCCCTCACCAAATCCCATCTCTGCCCATACTTCCTCAGAAACGTTAGGAGTTGCGAACTTCAACTTCTGGCTGTACTGCAAGAGACGGCGAGCCTCCTCCAGCTGGCTCTGAAAAGAACAGACCACACAGCAATGGATAAAACAATTGTTGGGCGTATAGACACAGACATGTCACCTCCGCGGACCCAACCATCCAGTGCTCCACATGGGAGCAGAGCCGGACAATCCACAAAACTGCCAACCGAGTGCAACTCGAGGACAATAATGACTGTATCACCTTTGGAAACATGTTGTGGATCACTGGAATCGACATTTACAACTTGCCCATGGGCAATAGTTCAGGAGTATCCTATTGCACTCTAGTGCTGATCCAGAGCTGAGCAGGTGCCCAGTGCTGCCTGATAGCTTACTGGAAGGACATCAATACTTCAGTTGACAAAAACTAAGACAATGGAATCAAAAACAACTTAGTGTCAAACATAAGGACATGCAGTTGCCCTATTACTTCCATATCACCCGCAACAGTGCTTTGCACAGACACACGCAGGTCTGTTTTTCACCGATTGTGTGAGGCCTTTGTAGACTGGTTGATACTTCCAATGTGCGCATATGCTTGCTGCTGGAGTGCATGACAAGGCAGGTTCTGCATTGAGGATTGCATATACATCAAAAGAAATATGCAACTCAACTGCCAGCACCATCCTCAGCAAAACTGCAAAGCGGATCGTTTTCCATACTGTGAACGATGGTGCAGGTAGCTGCTTCAAAAACAATAACATGCAAGGTGCCTTCTTGACGTTGCCCGGGTGCCTGCCCCATAGGCAACAAAGGGGAAGCAGCCGGTACAGATTGCTGCAGTCTACAGCTGGGTGACTGGTAGGCAGGAAAGGCCAGAGTACACAATGTGACAAGTCCAGAGCTATGCACAACCAATATCCTGAGCAACTGGATCGGAGACGGATCTGATGGCAATGGCAAAAGTTGTTTCCCTGGTGCACTGCCTCTGGGAAATGTATGAAACACCTTGTAGCTGTTCTCCTATTGCCCAAGAGTGCACTGCAACAGGTCCTCTTGCAGCACCAACTGCCAGACAATCTGACAGCCTGAGTACTAGGTGTCACTTGCCTGATGGTACCCAACGGGCAAAACGGCAGTAAGCAGTCATCCTTTGACAAGTGTAAACAGTGTGGGCTCACACAACAGTGCATTCACAGAATTCGTCCCGCGTTGGGATCCTGCATCAAGAGATAACTGCTATTCCGAGCTGCAAGTGAGGCTGTCTGCCCCACAGTACCTTTTGCCGTTGACACATCAACTAGGGAATCTTTGGTTGATTGATTCATCCACCAACCTTGAGGGTGCATATTGCCGATGTGGACAGCTGTGTGGGGTCCACCCTCTCCCCATTGGCAACGATCTCCCTTGCAGGAAAGTCCCTTATGCCCTGGCGGGCAAGGTAAACTAGCCCAATGAACAAGTCTGCCGTTGGCCACCGGCCCACGATCTCCACCCATATGTACCTTTTGGTTTCCACGCAAAGACACACAAACATCAACCTACGTGAACATCTCTTCCCTAACAAAAGCAAACACCACCACTACCACCACCACCACCACCACCACCACCTCTTTTCCTGAGCAGGGACTCTGTGCAACAATATTTTCCACAGATGAAATTCAGTGTTCTGAATTTCATCTGCGGAAAATATTGTTGCACACAGGTTGCTCAGAGTCCACAAAGAGCAACCCAAGGTCTTGCCATAGGCACAGATTGGCTCGTCAAAATATTAAACACAAAATAGCAAACTGGCATATAAGGCCAGTCAACTTTGGCCTATCCCCAGAACCCAAGATCCAAGTGCACAGGCAACATTCATAGCATGTTTGTTCACACGTCATCCTCTGCGACGTGTAAGGGCATTTTTTGTGATATTTTATTGACAATCCTAAACCATGGAGCAACTAGTGAGATGGTGCAAAAGTCCTGATGTGGAACAAGAACTAGACAAACAAAAGGGCCTTCGATCAAGCAGTCAATCGGCAGTTCTAACACACTACACATCAAGGGACATGAGGCCTTTAAATGCAATAAATGGAGCAGATCCTGTACACATTTGGGAACAAAGTTTGTCTCCAAATCGACCTCCAACCCCCCAAAGGAAAGCAAAGAAAAGAATCTCGAGCACCCTCCAGCAAATTCCTCCAGGCAGAATATTTGAACTCCAGCTACTCAGGGCTCAGGTGGGGAAGGGGGAGGGCAATCGGATACACGCCCAGCCCGTAGTTCTCTGAACGGCCTCCAGGGCTCCGTGCCTAGAGTTCGTGGTGGCCAGAATACAATGGTGACGACAAACGACAGGAACGAGTGCATGAATCGCAGCAGTGCGAAAGCCACGCACTGGGCGCCGCGCCCGTCTCTACTGAGTTCCGATGATCAGACATCAGCAGGTTTCCCATCGGTCTCCTAGAGCCTCGCAGTGCACACGACTCCCTGCGTGCCCGACGCCCACGTAATACAAGGTCGTGACAGGTAAAGCACACGGTCATGACGACAACAAAAGGCAACGCAAGCAAAAACGTGGACCCATGACGGCACAACACGACCGCGACAGCCCTCATCTCGCCCCACCCACTTCCCTGAAATGCACGCCGTTTGGGACAACCCGTCAAAACGGGCCGTGACGCGGGCAATTCAGGCCCAGCGACTGTCTCAGCCCGAGACGCCAGCCCATGCGCCCAACACAACCCCAGGAACAGACCCGATCCAACAGCCCGCGAACGGCAGAAAACACATTCCCCCGCTCTCAAAGCCGCCTTCCCCGCCGAAAAAGACAATCCTTGCGGTACTAGGCACCGGCATCGTTGGTCCGGCGCACCGCCCTGAACCGCCCCGCATCCGGCGCCTCAGCGGTCTGGCGTTAAAGTCGCCCAGCAATAACGCTTCAATCGCCTGACACCAGTCCTGCTCTTACCGGCAAACCAACGCTTTAAGAGCGACCGTTGCTCCCCATTAACCACCCCACCCCGCCAATCTCGGCCAGAACTCCCCAGTCGGCTGCTTCCGAACATCTCACCTGTATAAGTGCCGTTCCCCATAGCTGCGCCTGAGGGCGTAGTAGGCGATCGCGGCCGCTCCGGCAGCCACGATGCCCGCCGCCATGGCCGCCGGGGGGACCCTCGCGGGAGGGGGCGCGCCTCACGTGCGGGCCAGCCCGTCGCCCTTTGGCGCTGTTAGCGTCCACGCAGGGGGGAGTGATTTGGGCTGGTGTTCAGTATTGCCAGCTGGGGAACAATGAAGGGAACCATCAGGTTACCTGTACACGGTACTGTTGCGCTGGCACCCACTGTGTGGATTGGACGTTCGCTCTGATTAATATATACGTGGCCGTGACATACCAGCCATAACCGGCAGTCACACGCGATGGCCATCCAGCAAAATTCACTGTATCAAATCGCTTTGTTACTATCTTAACATTGATTGTGAGGGCGAGGTGGATATGGTGGATAATTGTAAGGTGAATGGTGTTACACATGGTGTGGCTAAACATTGTGAACATGGTGATAAAGCTTGAGTGAACAGCGGTGGCTGCGCGGGCACCTCGTTGTGTGGGCTCAAATAACTTCTGCTTGCGACCTCGCTTCCCGTGCCTGAGGAGCGACCGTGTGTGAGCGCGCGCGAGAGCTTTTGGCCAGCCTAACGTCGATAATGTTTTATATCTGGATATTCAGTCCGTTCACTATCTGAGTATTTGTGACTGCATGGTTGGGCCCTGCATCGGCGTGCGGTATCGGCAGCGTGCCATTTTCGCACACTTGACACAATGCAGACATGGATATGCATAGCGCGGGAAACGCGTTGGCCAACGACCGGATGGCTTGCTGTCGTGTGCGGCATTCTGACTCTGGTTTTTGGGCGTTCCGAACCTGGATGATTGTGGGCGTGTGCAGTGGATCATCCACTGTGCACGTTCATCACCATTTCTTGGAGAGTGCCCAATAGCGGCAACGTCACCACCTTGCTGGCTCAAAGGTGGCATCGATCTGCGAGGCAAGGCGTTCACATATTTGGTTCAGGGAAGCCGGGTCCTCTGTGCTGAGCGCATGAGACCCGCACACCCCAACTGGAGTGCCAGCAACAGGTTGGTGGCAGCGAATGCCCCGTATTGGCGCCTGAGCGACCAGAAAGATGAACTTGATAGTGGCGAGTATTTTCGAGGAGTTGAAAGCTGCGAGTTGCTCCGCCTACCGCTCGGAGAGGATGGTGGGCAGCAGCATTGGAAAGAACAAGGAGTACATAGCAGGGTGGGGGCGGTGGCAGGGAGTCTTTGAACAAGAGGTGAACCACTGGCAGGCGTGGGGGGCAACACAGACGCTGGCTTCGGCGTCGTGCGAATTGGTTTTGGAAGGAGCAGCCATACTGCTGGCCAGCAGGCAGAACTGGCCAGGAACTACGGGTACTGTTCGTGGTGCGACTTTGTGTGTTGCTCCAGAGAAAGCGCTCACACAACTCGCCCGTGAGTCCGCAGTGCTGTGGTGGTAAAATGCGTGGAGGAGCTAACGTTGGAATGGGGAAGTGGCGCTGCTCAATGCGAGCACAACACTTGTGTGGTCACGTTGTAAGCAAGATCCCCACGTGCATTTCGATAAAACCCAGACTTCAAATAACTGTGGAAGTTGGTGTTACTGCAGCAAGAGCCAATCCGACGGCAGGAGAAAATGTACAAGACGCAGACGCTCAGAGTAACACCGCCCAAGCCAGCAGCACAAGGCATCATATCTTTCACAACGCGGCCCATTCAGACATCCGCATCGCACCGGCCTGTATCCCTCAAACCACAAAAGGGAATCACACCAAGGACACCACAGGCCAGCAGCGCAAAGCCATTATTGGACATAACTCTTGAGTCAAGAACGTCGGACTCCGGTGTTATTCAACAGCCCCAGAACACGGAATCAAACCTACTCCCACGCGGCCGCCACTAGGCGACCCTTCGCTGCACAAAGTTTCTGTCAAACACGAACTCGCCCCAGCGGGCTGTCCCTTGGCACCCCCAATGAATTCCAGCGCCCGGCAATAAATAATCACGTGACCATTCATTGATTAAACGAGTCAAAGCACCGTTCGTTTCCACCGCCTGCAGCGAAGCGAGGGCGGCCCAGCGCCCGTCCGCTCGCCAATCACATTCCGTTGAATCAGGAAAAACAACAGGGCGTTCGCCGTGCCACGGTGCCTTCATCCGTTGCCATGAAAACCGTCATCGGTGTCCATGAAGGCCGTCATCGAAAATGCAGTGGCGCCATCCCACAGATACTGCTCGCCCAAAGGAGGCACAGCCAAAAGGATTCTATCCCCCCCCCCTTTTCCCGAGTGGAAAATGTGCTGATGGCCAAGTAGCCTACCGGTACGCGAAACATACGATCTGCGCGACTCCGCGTTCCCACTCCTACACCACGGGGCTCCTGTACCCAGGGCTTGCCTCACGCTCATCGAGCACGAGGTAGCCCGCGGCCTCTCTGTTCCTATTGTAGCAAGCCCTGTCCACGTCTTTGCACACCTCGCAGGCGCTGCAAGAAGCACGGCAGTGTCCGGCGCCGTCTTGGTTTCCAGCCTGCGACGCAAAGCACAGGACACAAGCCTCGTGGGCAAGTTGTTGCCGTCCTGACGAGTTTGAGCATTCATGGAGCTGCTGGAAACGATGCATTTCAGTGCAATAGTCCTACTGTGCAACGGAGCTGCTTCAGTCACATCGCAAAGTGGCGTGGTAACGCGTCAAAACGTCCTATCAGTACGCGGGTCTGGTGCCGATTTGGCGACCATGCAAGGTGAAGCAAGGCTCAAAGGTGGTCGGCCATGCGAGGGTGAATCCAACAGATGCACAACCGAGATGCACGGCACGGTGGTGCGGTGTGTTGGCCGTTGCGTTTTGGTGGCAGCTTGCGGGTCAAGGAAGCCAATACGAGCACAAACAGCACTGCATCCATGTGCTGATGATCACAATCAGGAAGCTGCACAGCGTTCGCTGTGCGAAATTCGCACACCCTTGTGGTGCCAACTGGCCTTTGCGGCCATTCCCTGGTTATGGTGCCGTCTCTCCACGCGTTGCAAGCGAGGGTGCAAATGGAGGGTGCATAGCAAGGAGCAAATAATTGTTCAGTGCTGCCGCGTCCATCAACTCAATGGCACAAGGGATCGTATCTCATCCTAGGTTCACAAGGGTGCCATTCGTGGATTTCACCACGCGCAGTAAGATCCTAGTTGGGCCGCCATTGAGCCAAGTTATTTGGAACCGAGTAAACAGAAATGGGAGCAGATGCAGATTTTCGTAGTACTCAAGAAAAGCCAGTCCCAAACTATAGACCGAAGGGGAATGAACCCACCATGTATTGGACGTTCTTTTCGCACTCGCCACGTTCTGCCCACTTGGCACACTCGTCACGCAGATCCACACAGTGGCCAGGATCAGGAGGCGGCGGGGCATTGGGGTCAGGGCGAGCAAAGCTCCCAGCTGTATGCACACAAGCCTCTTAATTCCACAGTGGGCACTCTTGCCAACGACACACAGTCGGCCATTCTTCCACCATGCAACAGGGTGGCTTGGATGGTGATCAGAGCTGACCGCACAGTGATCGTGATCGTGATCATGATCATGGTGCCGATGGGGCTCTCTTTGATTTATGTCATGGCACAGAGGTCTCATCTGTAACAGATATAATGTCCAACAGTTGGACACTTGTGTAAGCAATGGTCCCTGCTAGTTTCTTTGGGTCATATGGAAAAGACTGGCAAACCATTGATGGGCCTGCCAGTCCCAATCTCATCATATTGTGCTGCTTGACACACTGAAGCGGCAAACGTTGAATGCACAACACGACTTGTCATTCGTTGTTCCATACAAAATCCGAGGAGACCCAAATCTGTTCAGCTGCAGGGCAGTGCCAATGAGATCATTTTTGCTGCCCTAGAAAGTTCATAATATCATTTCCTTAAGTTCCACACGAAGTTGGCACAGAACCAGCTGTGCATTCATAAGCTTGAACAGAAGACATGTGCACATATGGACTCCATGAAAGGGGATAGGGAGGTGTGGGGTGTAGCTCTGAACCTCATGCTCACAGCAACAGTACGGGTGTCCATGTGATGTATTTTCTGGAGATGCTCCAACGACCTTCAGAACACTACTCTTGCACAGCATGTTCGTTTCTAATTTGTCGTGCACTTCATTTCAGGGCCAAAGGATCTGGAAGCAGCTGAAAGGCAGTTGCGGACATTTACACAAACATTTCCTTGCCCTTTATCTGCTCATATATGTGCTGGCCACCCGTTCACCCAAGATGCACCATGTTTGATATTGAAGGTGCTCAGAGCCAAGCTGGATTAGTGTCAAGCAGCACAACAACACTGACCCCATCTAGCACATCACTGTGCATCCAGGTTGTCTAGCCACTGTGCCACAATGGGACTTTAGCAGTGTCCTGCCAGACAGCAAGACACAGTATCCATGGAGGTCACGCAGTCACAACAGTGTGCCACAAGAACTGTACCAATTCACCGATTCTGAAAAAGGCACCCTGTACACAACTCAAGAGACAAACTTACGTCTGAAGGGCACAGTGTGGATCCATATGGTGCCAGTCCACTTGACACCCTTGAGCACAGGACAACCAGTGTGCAGGGCTGCTTCATCTTTTTCAAGGTTGGGGCTAAAAGAATGGAAGAGGAAGGCGTCACCCTGCCAACAAAAGAGAGGGGCACATTGAGGGGCACAAACACACAGAAGTGCAACTGTGCAAACAGTAGAATAGCTGCATCTTGTCAGCACTTGCAATGCCAAAGTTCCAAATTGTGTACCTGCAGTGGCACTGCGATTGACTTCTGCAACGTCGGTAGGCATGTTGAGTTCACTGAGTCTGGCCAATGCTGCATGTAGCAAAGGATCCACAATGAACAACTCCACGAAAGACCCATATCATCCTGGCAGCGATGCAGTGGGTGCTTGAGGCCTTTGCTCAAACCTACAAGCCGTTGCCCTCAGAAAGAAACCAGACTGCTGTGGCACCTATAGAGCTCCGCCTCCAGACTGCAACCTGTGAACTTCCTTACACCAACGGCGTCTAACAACCTTCCAGTAGGCCTCATATTTTCTACCCTCCTGTCTTGGATCGCAAGTGTGTGTGCAAGTGCTCCAACGCGCAGAATAGAACATCCATCTGGCGTTCTGCTCCACTCCCTATCTTGTAACTCAGGGCTGATCAGTTGTGAGAGGGACTCAGGACAGTGTTGTGACTAACAGCTGCGAAGCCCAAAATCGCAGCAATGCTTCAAAGGGTCTGAATGTGCTCAACCACAAGGCTTGCAACACTCAACTGGCTGAAGAAAGGGCTTCTATCACACCATGGCACAAGAGCATTGTTCTGTAATTCTATGGCACATGTGTCCAAAAACCTCCTCACCTTTCGAGGCCTCACAGCAACATGACCTTCAGCACAGGGGGAGAATGGTCCCAACGACTCCGCCCTGGATGGATTTGCCCATGCCGAGCTTTTGGGAAATGCGGTTTCTCCACCATACTCTGTATCTGTAGAACCAGCACAACCCCTTCTGATTTCAGCAGTTCATCACTGCAGGAAGGGCATGGAAACTCTGGTTGTTTGTATTCAGTTAGCACATGGCGCCACCACAGGGGTGTGCCATGCCACTGCCCAACATGATAGCACTCTGCATATCTGCTACGTCGAAATGTTCCAGAACCCCTTTGGGGCCATCTTCAAGCATTGCACAGCCCATTTTTCACAATGCCACACAACTGGTTGCAACAGAGGTGACAGATGACCTGATCGTGAGTTGGCTGTATTGTGTACACAATTGCTTCAATTTAACTGATTTAGCTGACAAACCCAATATGGCATTCCTGCAAAATACTGGCGTAAGAGGATGCGACTTCCTTGCAAAACAACTGGTCATGGTCTATGAGCATCACACTCAGTGCGCCCACATGTGCACAGAGAGTTTTG